AGATTCAAGAACAGAGGAATAGATGGGTAGGAAATTTTGAGGAGCTCTTGAATAAACCCGCTCCATTTACTCCACCGGAAATCTAAACAGCAAACGCAGAAATTCTAATAAATTTCGCTCCACTGGCGGTAGGAGAAATCAGCATGGTCATCAGGCAAATCAAGAGCGAGAAAGCAGCAGTCGAAGTACTAAAGTCAGACACAGAAGTAACTGCAAACATGCTCCACATTTTATTAATGAAGATTTGGGAGAAGGAACAAGTGACGACTGATGGGATAGAAGGACATCTCTACAAGATATCAGGGAAAGGAGGTCTGAGCAAACGCGGAAAATTCAGAAGCATTACACCAATATCAGTACCAGGAAATGTTTTCAACGGAGTGTTGCTGAACCAAATGAAAGATTCAGTAGACGCCCGACTTCAGGATCAAGATGCTGGATTATGTAATGATCGGTTGTGTAGGGATCAAATTGAGACACTATGGATCAATGTTGAGCGTTCAACTCATGGGAACTCGTCACTATACATCAACTTCATTGACTATGAGAAGGCGTTTGACAGTGTGGACAGGAGAGGTTTATGTAACCTTCTTAGACACTATAGTGTGCCTGAAAAGATGGTTAGCATCATATAAAATTCATACGATTTGGACTTTGCAGATGACTGACTCTTTTATCCCATATACACCAACGAATCTAGATGAAGACAACCAGTGTATCAGAAGACTCTGCATCAGTAGGAATCAACATACGCAAGGGAAAAACCAAGATCCTGAACTAGAACAAAGAGAACACCAACTCTATCACACCTAGTGAAAAAACTCTGGAGGATGCAGAATCTTCCACATACCTGAACAGCGTTATCGATGAATAAGGAAGATGCAATAAGGACATAAAATAAAGAATTGACAAAACAAGGACAACATTCCTACAGTTGAAGAACTTATGGAACTCAAAAACAACTGTCAGCCAACATCAAAGTCAGGTCATTCAATATGAACGTCAAAACAGTTCTACTGTACGGAGCTGAATCTTGGAGAACTAATACAATCATCATGGAAGAGGTAAAAGAACTTGTAAATAACTATATACACAAGATACTGGATGTCCGTTGGCCGGATACCATCAGCAACAGCCTACTGTAGGAAAGAAAAGATAGTTTCCACTTGAAGAGGGAATCGGGAAAAGACGTTGTAGGATAATCGAACATACATTACGGAAATCATTAGATTCTATCTTAAACTTGGAGTTTTGAAGGGGACAGAGTAGGAGGAAGACTGAGGAACACATCGCGTCGGGAATATAAAGCAAACACTAAGCGAATGAATATCAACGGGGAAGAACTGGAAACGATTGTACAGGACAGAACTTGGTGGCAAACACTTGTGGGCGGCCCACATTACTTGACGAGGAGTAACAGGAGAAAGACCAGCTATTTGACGACACTGTTTCTTCAAAATAAGTAGTCCCGTAATTCTTCAACATTGATGTTGATTTCATTAAGTTTACTGGACACCCCTCGTCAAATGGCGCTCATTACAAACAAAGTCCGATGTTTTCGTGGTCTTTGCGTATCATTATTGTATTAGTTAAGATCACTAGAAATGATTAGTTAATTTACACAGCAGAACATTATAAATTATGATCGGAACAACTGCTAAAATCATTTCTGCCGAAAATTACTGAGCTCAATGATGGAATGACAGAATTATCAGAGAGATGACTGTTTGAAAAGTAATAGCAAGACTATAATTTGTGGACGAACCAATGGAAATGAAGATGGCAATTCTTGGATTCTGGCATGAAATTCATTTATTCAAATGGTAAAATAGCATTTAGCAATAATTCACGCGAATTTATGAGCTGCTTCTGACCTTAACAGATAGGTGGTTTTCCCAAGATCACTTGAGTGACGCTTCAAAGTCATGCATAAATAATTTTCTAACCCTATATCACTTCTAATAACCGAATTACCATCCACTTTTAGATATGAAACACCACTTCGCCGTTGATCTAATATACATCGTGATGACGAAACTCTACGGTGACGTGGAGTCTTAGATGAGAGGATTGTGTTTTTATTGTCCGTAATCACTGTGAACCTCCATTATTGCCAAAAGCTTTCACGTGCAAGAACTGCTCATCAATTGACATAAAGTTGTATATGAGTGACGTGCTTCTTTAGTCAGATGCATAGGACTCAGTTAAACGGATTTCAGATTTAAGGAAACCCGAAGATGCATAATTTACACATAAGTTATATTCTTCAGTACGAAACTTGGTAATGGAGACACACTTTAACCTAAGTTCCTAACCACAGTTACGTAATAGCTCTTATTGTCAAACATGCAACTGTGGTTATAAATGCGCAGTGTGAATTTTGTTCAAGAAATGCATTTTTGCACTGAAATGTGCTCGGGACAAAATTACGGTCGCATATTCTAATCATTTCAAATCTATAGGTAATCCATGACAAAGTGTTGTTTTAGTAGGTATTGTGATGCTCTGAATATGAAGATGAGCAATAGACATTCAGTGAACAGTTTATTATAAGTATTCCTTGTCACAAGATGTAATGTCGTTACCGTAAATTATTGTTGCAAAGAAAGGACTTGTACAAATCATGACTTTGGTATTTACTAACTAATGGTAACCTTGATATCATGGCATGTGGATAACTGGTGAACTAATGTTTCGATTAGGAGTAATTTATAAAAAGATGTCGTGACGATGACCGTCGTTGAACCTGTCAAAATAGTGTTTTACAGAAAAACTGAATTTATACTTACCCTTTTAGCACCTTCGTCATATAGCTGATAGTTTTTTTTAAGGTCTTTGGTGGTATATCAATTTCCAAGTTTGTGGGATATTCTGTTGCTATTCAGACGAATGCAGTGCATTTTGAACGTAAACTTCTTCAATCATCTAGGACTCAACGTCCTACTGGCAGATTAACGTTATTCTCATTGCTATCTTCCACAATACCTGAGTAACAGACTTACTAGTAGTATGAAGTTTCTCAATAACTACTGCACGTACTAGCGCGCACCGAAAACAACACACAAATATTTCCAACGCTCACAACGATTTCTTGTACTTAGCCAGCGAACGTAATTAGTGTACGTCGTCTGCATTTGTGAGATTCCTGTTTCAATTACTCGTTGAAAAACTTTGGAGTCACATTCGGACTTTACTAACTGGAGAACCTTGATTTGAGCAATTGCTATCTCATAGTGAAGTCCATGTCGGCAGAAGTCGTACTGAAACCGGTTGATGCAATAGTACTTACATCAGTCATAGATAGGAAATAGCAAGACAATTGAAAAGTTACATTTAGCTACAGAAAAATAAGCAATAAACATCAATTGAATTCATGCACCAATAAGAGAGTTTTAAAAATGATTTATTGGCTACAAATGCATGTTTACCAGATAATTAATACTGTATTTAGTCTAACCAACCACTTCGTGCTCGCCGCCAATTCAGTACTCTAAGGTGGACTGAAGTTAGGTATTTCGAAACTGGGGGTAGTCTTTAACATGTCTCTCTATTGCCTTCTATTGCGCATCCGCGTCAGACCACGATTGGGTACTCTGTGCCACGTATCTCTTCTAACTACCATCCAGCTCAGATCAGACGCTTCTCAGTATATCGAAAACTTTCCAATTATATCTTCGAACTTCTTCATTCCTGGTACGGATGCTACAGGCATCCAAAGTTTGACGATGCCTTTACACGTAACACCTTTATAATAGAAGTATGCCATCTCTTTTAAATCAGAAGTCAGAACTTAAGGGGTTCGACGATATATTTGGCTGTCGATATATCGAGAAGCGTTTGATGTAGACTGACTGGAAGTTGCACGTAGCACTGCGCACTCATTCGTGATGTGGTGCAGATATGTGACTGAGTGACTTCAGCTAGGGTGTGACCAGTAAAACTGATGAGGTCGGCATCGACGCCAGAGACACACAAAACTGTTTATTTTGAGAGTTTATTTACTGCTATCCTGACTCCTGGTTTGACAACTTTGGTACCTTCCGATCATAAAAGTGTTAATGACAAAGTGTTGTCAAGTAGTGAATGTCAGAAACATCTTAAGCTGGTTCTATGTTAAAATGGGGCTATTCACTGGAAAATATACGTAAGTTGTTCTCTGTTGCTTCTGTATTGTCCGCGATCGCCACCATCATTTGAGAGACAAACACTTCTGTAAATAAAGTGGGAATTCACTCGAACATTCTAGCTCTGTAAAGAAATAGTCGCTACAGCTTCTTGTCCGGACAATCAATCATATATTAGTCACTGTCAGCAAAGACTTGAAAACCAATGTCCATTGACTTGGAACAGATGCTTTACGCTTCAAGACACTTCAGTGAGTAAATAGGGCCTTTGACTACCCAGATGTTATTACCTTCATGAATTTCTTCTCAGTATTCTTACGAACAAAGCTTGATTACTCTACAGAAGTGCTTGGCTGTTGTATAGCGAAAGACCAGCAATACTTAACCTTCTCCATTACCTTTTGCCCACTGTCAAGTAGAAAGGTTATAAATGACTTGATCGCAGTCTTTAGCCTACTATATTATGGTCTGATATTTCTTCTCCTAGAAACCGAGTTTTTAATTAGACTCAAAAAAATTCATAGCCCTAGAACCAAGTTCATCTTACCTGACTGATGACTTTCCCATTGCGCCATCAACCAGTAAAACTCCTAACCCCAACAAATGATTGAAGCTTCATCTGTCAACACAGTGAAAAAACCGAATCATTTGAAAAGCCTCAATCATTTGGACTACTAAATAGCGTCCAGTACATTACCTTCTCAATCTGAGATTGAATCGGACTTTTCGATGTTAATGTTTGCATTTCATATGAGCAAGACCAGTTGTGACGATATGTCTAATCCAGGTAAACTCGCAGGGTCCAATTGTATCTTCTTAGATAGGACTTAAAGACCTACCAACCTTTTTATTTTTATCACTTCAGGTGTCGAATCTCACGAATGGTTGTTACCACGGTACCGTATACACCGCGTTATATGATGGCTCAAGTAACAAAATTCGTATTTGATAAACATCTTGAATAGACTAAGTTCGATGCTTCAGAATCAGTGAAGGTAGTAGTGAGATGTAGACCACTTAATGAAAAAGAGGCTTCGGATGGTCACAAAAAGTTAGGACCCTCGAACTCTTAAACCTTTAGGTGTGTGTTTGTCGATTGTTCAAGTGGGACTATCGAAGTTCGTAATCCAGTTGCCAAACTGAATGATGATCCAAAAAGATTCAGTTTTGACGCTGTTTATGATGAAAGGTAAGAGGTCTTCAAGATCTCTTTATCTTAGAAAGTTCGAAACAAAGAGATTTATACGATGAAACTTTTCGGGACCTAATTAACAGTGTTCTAGATGGCTTCAACGGAACCATATTTGCTTACGGACAAACCGGAACGGGAAAAACCTTCACTATTCAGGGTATGTCTTGCAAGCTGACTCAAATATTTAACAGGCCTTCAGGATGACCCGGAATTACGAGGTGTAATGCCAAACTCATTCGTTCATATATTTGACCATATATCGAAGTCTATGGATGCACAATATCTTGTACGAGCGAGTTACTTAGAAATTTACAAAGAAGAGATTCGCGATTTGCTTCGCAGAGACCAATCAAAGCACTTAGAAATCAGAGAAAAACCAGACAGTGGAATATTTGTAAAGGTAAACACATTTGAGCAAGAAGCTCTATTCATCTAGTTGTTCGACTATAAGCCTCTCGTTAACGTTCTTTAAATTTCAGAAGATGCCGCTCTCAAAGGATTTCTGCCAAAATGATCAGATTATTTTAGAATGTAGGAGGCTTGTAATAATATAGTGTACTGATAAAAAATGAAGTAATAATTCTTAGTGTCTTTAACAGCTTGCACCAAATTGTAACTACTAGCGTGAACTCTTTACGTTAGCAGGTGATTAATGCTCCTGATATCGAAAGACTAAAACCATTTAAACCGATCGGTTAGACCCACACAAATAAATCTCATAGTCTGTTTCAGTTTCATTTTGAAAGAGAACCTTATTGGTCATGTCAATTACTTGTCGTTACAAACTAAAACTTACCAGTATTCAGCATACGAATTTATTATGGTTGGTTGAATCATCTGATGAGCGGGCAAAGCTCAACAGTTTTGTTGTAATTCGCGCAAACTATTGCTTTTTGGACTATTCTTTTTGTCATGAGTATAAGAAACTGATAATACAAATTACGGGTGAATTTTCATTGCATTCGAATACAACTCTCATTACGTTCATTATATGTTTATAATAATTTAGTAGGTTTACTTCATCATGTCTTACATGCTTCTTGCGTCCAGACTCTACAGGTGCCTACTTTATGTTATGTCTTTATGCAGATAAGAGTGATTGTCAAAATTACGGTTGGTAGTGGCAAGGATGGTGTGGTTAAATAAAACTAGTCCCACGAAAGCTGTGTTGTTTTCCAGCTTAATCCAAGTGTTTGACTCAACCTTTTATAGACGATGAGCTAATTATATCGATAGGAATTGGAATTAGTTTTACAAGTGGCATTTTACAATATCATTGTAGGCTTGTAGTAACTTAGCAGTCCCACGATCTATTTCTTGTTCCACAGTTGCATCATTTACTTCAGACTTCTGTGATAACTAATAATATGGTTAATCGATCTTTCAGATATATTGAGTAACTTGCTGATCACAAGTTCTCATTGAGAATGTAATGTTCTGGCTTTTTTGTAAAGTGATTTCATTTGATCTTACCTCATTTTATTTCTTATGATCAGGACTTGTCCTCTGTTCTTACCAAAAGTATAGATGAAATCCAGAAGGTTATGAAGATTGGATATCAAAATCGTGCAGTCGGGTAAGCAATTAGTTATACCTCAGACTACATAGCATTTTAGAGCCACTAATATGAATGAACACAGTTCGCGATCCCATGCTATTTTTATTGTGACTGTTGAGAGTTGCAAGGTATGGTTAGCCATTTTTTAAATAGTTATAGACTGGAGCAGATGGAGAAAAACATATACGAGTTGGCAAGTTAAACCTCGTTGATTTGGCAGGTAGTGAACGCCAGTCCAAAACACTATCAGAGGTATGTCCAAACAAATGGCTCAATAAACATTTAATTCATGTTTCTGTCTGTTCACCCTCTTTTTCCAACAGTTTGTATTTCGGAACTATAGACAACAGGACAGTAAAGCTTTTATCCATCAAAAATTTGTTCTTAATATAAAGCGGTCTAATATTGTTTGGTATCAGCTTAGTATGTTTTCATTGTTACAACTGGTGAATTAACATCTTTGGCGTATGAACAAATGTAGTTAAACAGACGTTTTGGTGTCAGTATAAAAATTCTGTTCATTAAATCAAGTGCTTTGGTTATTTCAGTTTTATGTTTATTTTAAAAGTTATCTCCGATTTATACTTTAGGGAGAACGCTTGAAAGAAGCCACTAAAATCAATTTAAGTCTTTCCACCTTGGGAAACGTGATATCTGCACTGGTAGATGGCAAAAGTACACACATACCCTATCGGGACTCAAAACTCACTCGTTTACTGCAAGGTGATAATTTACTTGTTATCAGTATATTGTGAATAATGAACTGTTTATGCATTTTGTTAGTTACGAATCCTATCTGTCCAAGTTCTTCTATACAGTCGCATACATAACTAGCACTAAGCCTTAACTTCTGATAAAGTTGTTAAATGTTTGTTCTGACTTTGACAAATGTATAAGTACATAAAAAATGTTTTTGCAGATAAAGTTATACCACAAGTGTCAATTTCCTATGAATTGGTAGCTTTTTTAGTCTGAGTATTTCACCCCACTACAAACATACACTGAAACTCTTAAGTACTGTAGTTGACTTCAAGAGGTTTGAAACACATATCCCATTAAAATACAAAATGTGGTCAAAATTAAATTGTCATTCCGATGAAACCACTTATTATAAGCTGGACTGCTCATCTTAAACTAAGCGAGCATATGCAAGTTAATTAGGACAAAATACTGCCTATTATCAGTTTTCTTATTTTTCCTGTGCTACCACGAGAAAAATATGTTTAAACAGAGCACTATTTTAATATCATGCCATAAAATACTGATCGCCACATATTTTATACAGCAGACATTTGGGCTTAATTAAGAGATAATTTTCGGTAGGACTTCTCAAGGAATTTGACGCTTAATGTGGATTGTTTTTAGATATTTAATTTGACGATAAATAAATCAGTTTTAACTTAACTTTTCTACTCTTTCAAGCTGGTTTTTCTGATCTTGTGAGTTGTATATTATTCCACACCACGAAATGTCATATAAAGTGGAGTACAAACAAAAAGTAATTTCTGTGTCTCTGTATATTGAATAAAATCTAGAAAATTGATTCCTAAAAATGCTTCTTTCTGTAAATCTGTTAATCACCACTGAGAAGTCTAAATCTAAGCATACTAGTAAAGGTAGGTTACTTTCTCACATTTTGTTGAAGAGTACTTGATTTACATGGCGTTTTTATTCGAAGATTTGCCTGCTCAGAATGCTACTATATAGATATGCATATTACAGAGCGTAAATAAATTATTTTACATAAATATAACCTAGTTATATCCATGAAGTTAGTCATATAAATAGATAAAACCAAATGATGAAAATATTTATACGTACACTTTTGTTATGAATAACACGGGAAAACAGTTGGGACAGTAATCAACGTATAAACCAAAAATCCAAAAAATTCATTAAATTCTGCGACGCTTTGTATCTAAGATAACAAGTGGCATAAAATATCTCATGTTAGATACTGAAATTATGTCGCATATAAGTTATGATTTCATCTTACCAATATTACTTCTTACATCGCAGATTCTTTGGGGGGTAATTCAAAAACTATCATGATTGCAAATATTGGACCGGCGACCTACAACTATGAAGAGACCATAAATACATTAAGATACGCTAACCGTGCTAAAAATATTAGGAACAAACCAAAAATAAATGAAGATCCAAAAGATGCCTTGCTGAGAGAATACCAAGAAGAAATCAATAGGCTCAAATCACTACTGAGAAACTGTGTCGCTGCCATTCCAAAACAATCTCAAAAAAAGAATGGAAAGCAGAGATCTCAACAAAAACATATATTGTCGGATGGTACGTATAATTATTTGTTGCTTTAAAAGTTCTACTCAATTCAGATGATAACCCAATTTCATATGCTGGAGTAGCAATTTCTTTTGGGAGACTGCTGAGAAACAAAACAAATCATAAGAAGCTGAAACTAGTTGAATTGGTTGTTGTTTCAGTCATTAAATAGGTTTAGTTATCATATTGGTCTTTAGTTTATGAGACATAGATCAACTTGCCTATTTTCATGATCATTCGCTTCGTCACGAAAGGTTATTTTAGCACTGATAGGTAACAGGTTGTCGTCATTATGATTAACTATCCATCTTCCAAGGACTTACTTGATAATAATGCGTTTGAAGACATCGAGAGTGCCTTATTTTCATTAAAAAGGTATTCGAATTACTCTCTTGTTGATAATCGGGACTGAGCTTTTTTAAACATTTGCTGGAATATGTGCATGGCAATACAGCCATTCTGTCAACACTTTTTACAGTAGATTGATTATATATGGTAGGGGAATCCGGGATGGTTTTTTCCCCTATTTATGACTCTGATGAATATGGCTGGATCCTTTTGTTGATGTTAACATTGAGACTTGACACTAGTGTATCAACGCCGTAACACATTTGAAGAGTTCAAAGCAAAACAAAATATGCATACTAGATCCCACCATTAGCCGAATTCCTTTCGGTACGCATCTTGTTACTTAACGTTTTGTCATGAAAATATTCGAAAGCCTAAGAAAGTTTAAAAAGGCCGTTTAAAACCGTATTACATCAGGTTAAAACCATGTAATTATAGACGGTGTTTTATTCTATATATTAGGCTCTGAAGCTAACAGCGATAGTGAAGATGATGCAACAAGCATAGAAAACTATATGAAGGAACAGCAAGCAAAACTATTGGCTGAAAAGAATGAAGTCTTAAACGACAATTCACTTGTTGCAGAAGAAAAATCTCGTATGTTGAATGACCTTAAGGTAAAACTTACCATTTTTGGGAATGTTTTTCTTGTATGAAACAAAATTATAACACATTTGTAACTCGACCATTTTAAGTTGCTACACTTCAAAGATTGAACGTGACATTGAAGGTGATGAGATATCTGATTTGGATGATCAAGTTGTGTAGCTGTTATTGTTCTTCTGAATATGACATGCTGGATTGTAAATTTAGTCAAGAAATCAGTGGAACAGTTCACTGTTTGTGAGGAAATATTTACTAAGTAAATCAATACATCATATTTTAGTGATGAAATCAAGGATTCACTTCTGTAGGTCAGGCACTTATAGTGATTGTGATATTCCTGTTCTTATGACATTAATAAGTCATTTTCTACATTAAGCTATTAATCAGTTGTAGGTAGACTAAGCTACACTGTGAAAATTAAAATAATATGTAAAACATGTATAAAAATCATAGTGAGAAACTCTGTTGATCTATTCTTGATGTAAAACTAGTTCTCTTCTTCTGTGCTGCATCTTGCTTATCTCTTGCGTTGAATAACATCAATTCCTTGGCAACGTTCTATCATCCTATCATACAACGTCTAAACTTTAGTACAAAAATTGGCTCAAATCTCAGTGTTTTATGTAAAAAAAGATAATTAGATAGGGGACAAACATCGGGTTATCTACAGACAAGAGCTATTTGTTTATAAAATGATATGAACTTCCAGTTAAAGGTCACTTCTTTACTCAAATCGTGTAGTACACTTAGTAAACTGCTTTCTCTAGTTAAGCTCAGTTGCTCTGAATGGATTAAAAACTTAAATATATTAAGTGAGAGTGTGCAATTTCTATCCATAGTTTGAGGGATTAAATTTTACATTGAAAAACTCTAGTTTTTATATAAAGTCCGTGAATTTTTATTGGGACTTATAGTTTCTCATTGATTTTATAAATACTACATTAGATAGCTTAAACTATTTCCATCATTTAATAATGTCTATATCTTGAAAATTCTGCTAGTTTCTTCACATATAGTCAAATTGTGTTCAAATGGATAAATACACAAGTAAATTCATACTAAGATGATTAGATATAATTTTTTCTTCCATATCTAAAAGAAGAGAGAGAGATGCGCACTTATTAGGTTTTTAGTAAAGAAAAAGAATGGGTAATGCCTGCAGTTGTTTATTGATTAGTAACTAGTTATTTGAAGTATGAGTAAACCATAATTACCAAGGTTAAATAAGATAATGACACAATTTTCAGGTAAACGAATTCCAAAAGATAGAATAACTGATGAACAATTAGTAATAGTGTTTTTTTATTGTTAAGTAAAGCCATAAAACAGCATAGTCCAACTAGTTGAACTCATGAGTGAATTGAAGCTAGACCACTATGGAAAACCTGGAAAGACTGACAGGACTGATAGGTACTGGGTTCGATTCTCGCAGGGGGGGGATCGTGGATGCATACTGTTGAGGAGTCCCATACTGGGACGAAATGGTCATCCCTTGCTTCCAGGTTTTTCATGGTGGTCTAGCTTCAATTGACTCATAATTTCAACTATTGAAATAGCTAAAATCTTTAAAAAACACCACTTCCGATAATAGTCAAAATAGGTTAACAAAATGTATTTTAGTACAAAAATGCATTTTCATCTCATAAATACAATGAATATTGGTTTTTTATACGTCCGCCTCAATGTCTGAGTTGATTTTAAAACAAAATAAAATATCAGAAGTATCTGATATACATGTGTGTTCGGTAAATCTGACATTAAAAAAAATGATTTAAACATTTGATATTATTTCTAAATTTCGTTTATTTTTACATCAACTATTCATATACACAAATGTATAATGGTTTTATTAAACCGCTTAACCAAACCACCTACAGTTAAAAAAGGATAACGGGTAAAATTCAAGTGTAAACTACATATGGTTAGCCTTATCTTTGACTTTAATTGTTATGTAAAGACTCGGTCGTTAAAAACTTGGTTAATTTCAAATGCCCATAATATGGGAACTTCGAAAATTCTATTTTGAATCAAGTTACTTGTAAATGATATGTTTATATTTGATTGACGGAATAACACTGCTTTTATGGTAAGTGTTACCTTGATTTACATTAAAAAGAATATTAAAACAATACAAAACAAGAATATTGTTTTTAATTACTTGAACATAGCCCTACTCATCATAGCTTAATTGTTAGTGATAGCCTTGAAATATGGGATAAATTTTTTATATTTTCAATAATGTAAAATCAACCCAATTTCTAATGCTAATCTACAACGGGTTATCGAGATTTATATCAGAATTTAAAATCCTATGAAATTCAATAAACTCATCATTCTAATTTACACCTTATTTAACCTTGACGAATGTTATTTACTGTAGATAAAAGAAATAAAACTTCAGGAAGAACAAACAAAAACTCAACAGTTAGAGTCCAAATTAAGAGCTATGGAGAGTAAATTACTTCGAGGTGATCAATCAATCGTTGAACATACTCGTATGCAAGAAGTAACTTTAGCTCAACAACGGACACAAATGGCTGAGCAAAAGCGTCGTGAGCGTGAAATAGTAGCTCGTATGGAAGAAGAAGAAGGGAGTATGGCTAATTTACAAGAAGGTTTCACGTCATTAAAACAAGAAGTAGAAGTAAACACTAGAAAGTTAAAAAAATTATTTGAAAAATTACAAGTATGTTAAATTTTGGTTTTCTATGTTTAAAGTTTTGGAGAAAACCAAATACTTTTTTAGGAATAATATAGAGTACTATATAGTTATCTTTGAGCGAATAAAAACAAAAAGAATTGTTCATTAATAACTGATTTATTTTACAGATAAACCATAGATATACCAAAGTTCCACTCATACACTGAAAAATCTAGTAAATTACAATATAGACATGAGTGTCACAATCAATAAGCACATATCTAAGTATTAACAAGTCTGAAATAAAAATAGGATAGTGAAACGAGTTGGTGGATATAAGAAATAGGCAACATTCGAAAATAACAAATACCTAGTAAAAATTATATATAAGTACGTAAAATCAACGAATATTTAATCGTATTCTTAGTGTATATGGCCAAGAGTGGAAGCTAGAAAGTACATCTCGTCTTGTTTTTGACTTATCAATCGGATGTATCTGCATCCTAATGTTGACACTAGTACTGAAACTCCAACTCAAAGCTTATTAACAACTAATCTCCTGAGTCCACAAAACCAATAATTCATTTGACAGGTATGAGTTTATTTGTAAGGGTTTGTACTTTCTTAGTGTTAATATTAAGTAATAAAATTTATCAGTCTCTATTGGTATATTTGCATTCACAGCAAACTCTATCAATATTAACTTTGCTTTTACAATGCTATACTTCAATATCACTGTTAGCGATTTTTGAATCTTCCATAGTAATTACCCTCTTCATATTGAGAATTCACAAATAACTTTACCGTAACTAAAAGTAACTTGGTACTCTACTCATCATATTCTTCTTAATACGTTAACTATGATTCTCTTAAGAAACATTTTAGGTTAACTTTATTCATTATTACCAGTGTATACTCTTTTATGCCATCTAACTAACTACCTGATCAACTTTCTTTTTTTCCTATAGAGGTACTGTATCTAAATAAAAGTTCGGCAAATCTATATATCAAGCCTTTTATCACTTTTTCAGGTAAAAAAGACGACACTGAGGATAATTATTTTGTAGGCTTTAGCGGCTGTGTAAACAAACTGAGGATGTCGTATCAAATATTTAATAAATGGTAGATTTTAAAAAACAAACTTTCTTTTTGAAAAAAAAGCTATTATAGTTGGTATTTTTACCTGCTTAACAATATGAAACCGAGTTTTTCCATCTGGACTCCTAACTTATTAAAATAGAATGAACTTATGCACTCATTTTCTTCGTCACTTTCTTAGTTTGCTTATATACTATTTCTATAATAGTTTTACTCATATTTTAAATATTTTGAAGAGATTAATTTTTTTTAATTTGACATAGTACACATTACAGGGTGATACTAATTCAAATATAGTAGAAAACCAGAAAGTACTGAACTGTAGGTTCTTCGTCAAAGGAAAGTCTTCAGCAACTACTTTTATTAAGCTTGGTTTTCTAACAGACAGTTTCGACAAATCATTATCAGATAGTCAGTTCGACGATATCTTAAACTGGGTTTACTAGTTTTAATCTTAATGTACCATGATAGAAAATTAACCTGATATAAACTAGAAATATTAGACTAAAATAATTTATTTATTTATTCACTAATCCAATGAAATCATAAGCTGAGTTTATAAATAATGAAAGATATTTGTATACGTTAGGAAATTAAACAGAAGACATCTGATATACAGGAAGAACATACTGTAGAACGTCAAGAACACGAAAAAATTCAAGATCAACTAACACGTGAAATTAAATTACAGTTGTTAATTCTGGAAAACTTCATACCAATAGAAGAAAAAGAGAAATTAGAAAAACGAATTTATTTTAATGAAGAAACCGAAAGATGGCAACTCAAACCACTTTTTCAGTCTAGTGATGATGGTACAAACCTAAATATTCCATCCTGGTAAGCAATCATTTCTTTATATTAGTGGTTTATGCTATGACTTTATGTCCGGCTTTTTATCATATGATTTATCCACTAATCAAAATACGAGTTATACAATCTTAGCACTGTGCCAAACCAATGATGTTCGACCGGTATGGGTAGCCTAGCGTCCTTATTGGTCCTATGTCCACCTAGCCCGTCCACTTGAGTCCAGAACACCAATACCAGCTTCCAATATGCGAATCGAATTGAATCATTTATTTCAGACATACTGGGTTCATATATCAATCAAACAGACCACAACGCACCATAAAATAGGAAATAACATTTGTACACAATAAAGCCGAAAAGTGACTGTGAATATGGGAAGCAGTATTTAATAAACTGAACATAGCTTAAGAACCGTAAATCGTACAATAATAAATTATGGTCCAAAATAAAGCTTATAATAAGAGGAATATAAATGTACATAATCTAATTATTGAATAGTTATATCATAAGAATGTATAGATAATATTAGTCAATTAATATGTCTTAGGAGTTACTCGTGATTTAATCTTCGCTCGGATATAACAGTTTATAATTTGATAGCTTCATATAATCTCGTGTAAATCATCCATTAGCGCTTTTATCATACAACAACACATATTTGTAGCTCACAACCATGAAATTTAAGCTTATTTTTTTCAATATTTTACTTAGTTAAAAATAGACAGATTGTTAAAGATTGAACGCTCTGGATTTTATTAAATAATAACTGATAACGTCATGAGATTCGAGATGAAAGACAGTGCTGTATCAAATGTCCTGTAATCTATGAACTGTAGGAAAATATTTCAAGATCTAGATTTTAACCAGTGGGATTACTTTATTGGATGTTACAAGCAAAAATATTGCCCCATTTCGTATCGTGTCAACCAAAAATAGCTCTTCAGTGTTGGTAAACTGTTTAAAATCAGTAAGAGTCATCTCCAGACTTTTTATTTATCTCCTAAGTTTAATTACATTGTTTTGAAGATTTACAGACGCATTAGTCTCAGAACTATTTCTAGTCCATTCTATGCTTTCTAGTCACACAGTAATTGATTTATCAATTTTGTAATACCGTGCTTAATGAGATGGTCAACAAGTTTTTCGCTATAAATATTATTGAGCCAAACCAATAAGCTTTGATCACAGAAGTTCCGAAATTCGAAGTTTGAGTAGATCGTTAACTTTTACATCTTCAGTTTGATGTATTAGTACATTTTTAATCTGTTTCGCGATTCGGTCAGATTACAAGGTACAGTATCACTCTGTGCCCATACATATGGATGTTTTAAAAAAATTCTATCTATAGCTACCTATTATATTGAACGATTTATGATCATTGAAAACGTCTTACTGTTTACTCACTCAAGTTTAACTACCAGTACATCTTATTTCAGTCAGTCAAATTGGGTAATACTACCTCTACGGTTCTTGTTATACATAGATTCGAAGATCGTAACGTGATGCTACAATGTTAATAATGATCTGGTAAAATTTTATGAAAATAACTCACTTCGTTTGGTTTTTCTCTATCGGTAATGAAAGATTTACCCTCTGGTACAAAACACTGTAGATAACACAATACAGTTTATGCATTAACACTAGACTGGATAATACTACTGGGAAAACTAGACCACAATATTAGATAGGAGATAATCAAACCACTAGACTAGATCCAGCTGTACACAGATAGATAACTGAGAATGAGATTATGGACACAGAATAACTGTTTATTAACGCAGTACATAATACAGCACAGTGAAATCAATAATGGGAAGGAGTTTATTATAACATATAATGCCTTATACATTTGTCTTCGCCTACTGGTCATTCACACCTTACTTTCACCGGTCACACAACATATTTTTTGCATCCAACTCACATTTATAAGTTGGATAGAAAATGTTTTAAGAAAGTAGTTAGTTTGTTTTAGTTATTAACAGAACGAACAAGTAGGTCATGGTTCGCTTCAGACATTAACTTTGTAAACTACTATTAATTATAATCATCAACAATTATCAATGAAATGATGGCCCCTATTGTGAATATTACTAAATTTTTTTCAGCTTGATTGTCCTCTTTTCTTGATATTACCTCAGATTAAGTGGTAAAATCTCAGTGGGTCTCATGGATTACTCAATAATATAGTAAAACTGTGGCCGCAAATTAGGATTTTTCAAAGTCCGAGATTTTTAAGCTTGATTTGTCGTCTCTATATAACTCGTACAGCAGCGGAATTACTTTTTTGTAACTTGTTTTATTGAAGTTGTGCTCCGTTGATAACTTTTATGGGATATTACTGAGAAGGTTAGAAAATTACACGAACTGTGGCACAACGATAGACTACCGTGTGAAATCTTGAAATCAAAAGACCCGATTATTTCGGATTATCGTACTATGGAGGAAAATAATGTAAACAATATGAATTTACATATCTCCAATTGTGAGTTATCTGAGGATTTGTTAGGCCGTCAATTTATATTCATTTAGAAAATACGTACATAAAATGAAGTAGATAGGAAACTCTTAACGCTTCCAAGAACCCACAGTATAGCAAAATGTTGTGTCAAACGCTTTCTAAAGATTAATACGAAGAATTGGGAGCCATACTTTTACGGTAGACAAGCTGTCTCAAAAAAAACAAGGTGTTAAGTGGTGGAATGTATGATAAAGGTTACGTGAAAAAGAGTAGTGAATGCTGTATTAGGCATAAGCGAGTTAAAACATTATAATAATTTGTCTATGGAAATAAAAATTCGTTTCAGCTAAGTATCTGAGACCTTGGGATGCTGATCGAATGTTAAATAAACATGAGTTACTGATGATTATTTAAGTAGTATAGTGTATCACATAAAAGGAATGGGTACGAATCGAATGAAGATGGAGGTGTAACGGTGATATGATCGATAGAAGATGAGTACATTAGAGTTGTCTACGAATTGTATTATTGTAAAAGATAGGTGTGGATGACTGATCACTATTTATCGGAGTTCTTTCTTCAAATAGTTTCCGTTTCTCCTGCCGAGTTACGTGTATCCAGTTCATCTCTAATTGCTATAAGGAATTCAAGTGGATCCAGTCTGATGCAGATTCCTTAGCTTCGTTGGAAAATAATCTGAACCAGTAAAAATTATAATCATCTTTCTGGGACCTTGTAGTACTTTCCATTTCTGAACTTACAGACCCTATCTAAGAAATATTTATTTTACTTGGCCTTCCTATGGCAAGCAGTATGTAAATTTTAAATAAACATAAAATTAAATGTTTTCTCACGTAATTCTGAGGTGATAATAACACAGTGAAGTTGTACGGTAAATGATGGCTTCGTGCTTGAAAATGAAACCATATTTACTGACAATAATATGCTGTCTCAATTAAACGATTGGAACTATTCACTTAGAATATAATATTTGCGCAAGTATTTGATAGTAATCTTGAAGATCTTTCTTTTCATTGTAAATCTCGTGTCAGCAATGTATCTTCTTGATAATTCACTGTGACTAGACAATATAACTATTATTTAGAATGAATGTAACCCATACAAATTATTATTTATTTGCTACACTGTGCTTCGCTATGTGCAGTCATGCTATTTACACTTTGATTTTGTCAAAGGTATAATGTTAATCAGTCTTTTTGTTGTACTTTGAAAAGTAAACAATCTGTTTGTCGTTATGCACGTATGGCTGCCAACTATGATCCAAACCCTAGATTCCGAAACAAACAGATATTAACTTTGGATATGGACTTACCTGGACGTACTACAAGAGATTATGAACCACCACAATTGGCTCCACAGGTGGTGGCTGCATTGGAAGCTGCACTACAGGATGAAGAAGATTTAGAATTGGATGGAAGGTATTGAAACTGTTGTATAACACTGATAAACATCTCATCTTATAATCTATAAAGTTTTCTTTCAAAGCAACTTTTTAAGGAAAAACGATTCATTATTTCCACTCATGGTTGTTCATTTTAAAAGAGTTAATCATAAAATTTCTCAACAGCTTAATCTGCAAAGAACTAACGCAGTTGCCATTGATTAGCACAACAATAAATTATTATTACTCTTAATCTATATAAAATATTTGAAGTGCCGAAATTATACTTTGACCATCTATAGACACGAGGATCTTTAGTGATAATAATAAGTTTTCTACAAGCATTTTGAAAAATATTTTCTTGAAAATACCAAACAGGATATTGCAATGAGTAATCTAGATTTATCTCATCCGACCAGTGTATTTTAGCATAAGGATTACACATGAAGCTAAGAGCTGCCTTATCTACAACCCATTACTGGAGAGATTTTATAAAGATTGTTTAGGTTCATAGTTCATATCACTAACTGACCCTAATTAAGCAACCAATTAAAATCAAAATCACCGGAGAGCTGTTTTGTTTACAAGATCTCAATGTCTTGAGTTTGATTCCTGATGGAATCGTAGATGCGAACTACTGAAAAGCCTTACATTAAAATGAATCGGCTATTCAATGATTACTGATTTGTTTAATTCAGATCAATCAATCTTGTTAACTATGATTTGTAAATATCTTATACTTTGACAATAATGTAGAGTAGTTCATGTTGATTGCCATTAGCAAATAATCAGAAGGTTTTTTTTTTTAGAGATTTTAGTAATTTCAATAGTTGAAATCATGAGTTAATTGAAGCTAGACCACCATGAAAAACCTGGAAGCACTGGACGGTCGTTTCGTCCTAGTATGGGACTCCTCAGCAGTGCGCATCCACGATCCCGCCTCCTCAAGAGATTCGAACCCATAGCCTATCGGTCTCGCACGCGAGCGCTTAACCACTAGACCACTGAACTCGCCGGCATCCAACGGTGTTAATATTTTATCTAATAAATGAGGAATCTTATAATTCATAATAAAATATTCCAATTAACAATTAGTAATCATGTATCAAATTGTGTAAATTTATAGGTTGACTTCCTTATGCTTTTTTTTACAAATTCTTGCGTTATTTTTTTTCTAAACTTTCATATTTAGTCCTTCACTATTTCAATCTTCATTGTCTAAATTGAAGAAATCAGAAAAACGGTAAGAAAAAATTGTCAATTTTATTTAAACTATTTATATTCCATAGAGTTAACTCCTACTATTCATTATGAAATAGTTGATTTTTCATATTTATTTTTGTTAGTTTTACGTTAAAAAGAAGAATATACTGATGAAGTTATACTTTTTCTTGATAAGTTTTTGACAGTTCTTTTCTTTATTTTTTTACTTTTCTTTTTCCTTGACCTAGATCTACTTTATTTCAATATTCTTTTTTTCTGTTCTGTTAACTATACAGAAATTTATTTTTGTCATGATAATAATTCAAAGAAAAAATTTTTATCTCAATAATTTATCTTAGTTTTTATGATATTACTGGTAGAATTTTTTATAATCTCTAAAACATTGTTAATATTTTCGATGAGATTATAATTTATGTAGGGAAACGTGTTAGCCAATGTTCATTTGGATATTTTTACCGTTCCCGTTAAAATCCGATGCCTTACAATAAAACATAATTACTTACTTACGCCTGTTACTCCCAATGGAGCATAGGTCACCGACCATCATTCTCCAACCCTCTCTGTCCTGAGCCTTCCTTTCTAGTCGTATCCAATTGTTGTTCATTTTTCTCATGTCTTTCTCCATTTATCTGCGTAATGTGATCTTTGGTCTTCCACTTCTCCTTTCGCTTTGCGGATTCCAAGTGAGGGCTTGCCTTGTGACGCAGTTGGGCGCTTTCCTCAATATGTGTCCTATCCACTTCCAGCGCTTCTTCCTCCGCTGTGATCTGGTTTGTTCTCTCCCATACGTTGTTGCTGATAGTGTTTGGCCAACGGATACGACGCGTTTTGCGTAGACAGTTGTTAATAAACACTCGTATCTTCTTGATGATGGCTTTCGTAATTGTCCAAGTTTCCGCCCCATACAGTAGAACTGTGTTAAAATTTGTATTAGAAATTCTGACTTTGGTGTTGACAATTGACAGTTGTTTTGAGTTCCAGATGTTCTTCAGTTGTAGATATGCTTCTCTCGCTTTGCCGATCCGCGCTTTCACATCTGCAGCAGATCTACCGTGTTCATCAATAATGCTGCCCAAATATGTAAGGGTTTTTACGTCTTCCAAATCTTCTCAACTAAGTGTGATTCGATTGTTGCATGCTGTGTTGTATCGGAGAATCTTGCTTTTCTCTTTGTGTATGTTGAGACCTACTGCTGCTACACTGATCGTCTTCTCCTGCATTTGTTGTTGCGTGTGCAGTGGAAGAGCCAGTTCATCTGCGAAGTCTAGACCGTCCAGATACATCATAGCTGTCCACTGTATCACATGTTTCTCCCCAGATATTGACGTCTTCATGATCCAGTCGATCACCAGAAGAAAGAGAAAGGGTGAGAGTAAGCAACCTTGCGTGACACCGGTCTTTACTTCGAACGAGTCTGTCAGCTGTCCTCCATGCACGATTTTGCAGTTTAATCCATCATTGGAATTCCGTATGATATTGACTATCTTTTCAGGCACGCCGTAGTATCAAAGAAGCTCCATAGTGTTATCCCGTCCACTCTATCAAATGCTTTTTCGTAGTTGATGAAGTTGACGTAGAGTGATGACTTCCATTTGATTGATTGTTCTACAATGATCCGTATTGTTGCGATTTGGTCTGTACACAATGAATCTTTGAATAAAAGAATTGTTTTTATCAGGGAATTTTGACTGTTATTTTTTTTGCAGTTGCTCATTGTTTTAGTTTGAATACATTTGTGTTTAAATACATTTAATTAGGAAGTTTAAAACTAAATAACATTTTATTAAGTATTCTAATGAATGTTGCAAAATTATAATATTACTGAGAAGTTCTTATCAGTATTACTGGTAAACTTCAATATTTTTACAGAGTATATTGATCTATTCCATTAAACTATCTAGAATTCAGTATAATTGTAAGGTTTACTAATTTCATTCAGGTTAATTAGTTCACAATAAGATAAGAGAATTCAAAAGACTTTATGAAATTAATTTCCTTAATACATTTAAAGAATACAAAAACTACTATGCTTATAGACAGGATAAATTTTATGTAATTTTAATAGAATTTGTCATATTCATCTGTTCATTTTATTTTATTTTTTTAATTTTATTGATAGAATACATAGTGGTGCAACACAAAAAGATGATACTCAAATATTTCCTCAATCTAAAGGACTTGTACCTAAATAAAATAGAGGTTGTTCAATCAAGATTTTGTTCATCAAACTTTTAAACTTTTGTTAACTATTCAATATATATAACTGTATAAACAATTAGGAATTTTTCACAGTTCAATGGGAGTTATTAAGCAGCGGATGTCTATTCATCAGTGAGGTCACTGTTGGGTCATCTCATAAATACCTCGATAATCTTAGTTAGCCCACCAACAGTTAGAAATCACCAAAACTGAACTAATGTTATACTCGTACTAAAACTTTTGTTTGGTTTAAAATTTAAAACTCTAATCTAATCCATATTAATTTAGTTCTGATCTAAATGATAGACAAAATTGAATTATCTACTGGAAAGCTATTATGGTGACACCAATTATTTAATATGTAACTACACGAAATAATTATTTATTCGGGTCAGCGTTTTTTTAGGAAGGTTGGATAGAGAATGCTAGTGGGCGGCCTATTCTGCTCCATGAGGGGTAACAGGCTTAAGTAAGTAAGTACACAAAATATTTAATGTCAACAAAGTAGATATTCAAGTCCCTCTTCGTCGTAATACACATTAGATTCTTTATCTTAAAAAAATGGATAGTGTGAATCCTTGGTTGACAGATTAACTTGTATATATGTAATGATAGAAAAAATTGATTTAACGAAGAGCCACTCCCAGCACATTGGCAAGTCAACATTCCCCTATAGATCTGAAATCGATGCTCATTTTATATTTTTTCAATAGGCTTCATACATCTTGAATACTCACTGTCAAGTTTAAATGGTTAGAATTATGTTTTTGAAGTTGAATGTTGTGTATTTTCATGTGTTGAACAAACCAATATCATCTATCAAGCATGCTTTAACAACATTTCAACCATTTCGATAACGTAATAAGAAGGTGGAGATTATCACAACTTTTATTGAAACAGTCTTAAATCAGTCATCAACAAAACGTATTGCGCAGCAAAGGTCATTATGAAAGAAAGAACAAGGTGCATGCTTCATCCAAAACCTAAAAGACAAAAAAACGGTTGTGTTACATCCCACTGTGTTTACCAATTTAAATGTGTGTAGTCACACATACATAGGGAGGAGCAATCGTGGCTAGGATATGTGAACATGTACCCAAATGTTTGCAGAAACAAATAGAATCAAGTGACCCGATAAGAGTAAAGGACAAACATCCATCATCCTCTATTGCTAAACATTTAATCTAAACAGGCCATAGGATTGATCTTAACTCGGCTTTTGTGGTGTTGTATAAAAGTGTAAAAGAGCGTGTACCAAGGTTTATGGAAGCCTTAGCCATACGAAAATTCCAACCCCGTTTGTGTATTCAAAAACAGTTTGTTCCCACCCTAAACTTACCCTGGTAATATTTGGCTTATTATCCAGAGTGATGAGGTTCCAAATTGTGTTCACATTACTATTATTACTCTTATTATTATCCTTGTCTCCTCCTAATCCATTTCCAGTCTAGTTGGCTCTTTATTTTTATATATAAATGTTTTTCCAATGTGAGAAGGGGTTTTGTGGAGATTGCAGTAATTTCAATAGTTGACATCATGAGTTAATTGAAGCCAGATCACCATAGGAAATCTGCAAGTCCTGGACGGCGTTTCGTCCTGTTAGACATTAACACTGTTGGCTGCCGGCCCAGTGGTCTAGTGGTTAAACTCTCGCTCGACAGACTGGCAGGTCCTAGGTTCGAATCCGCGAGGCGGGGTCGTGGATGCGCACTACCTAGGAGTCCCGCAACAGGACGTAATGGCCATCCAGTGCTTCCAGGTGTTCCATGGTAGTCTGACTTCAATTAAATCACGATTTCTACTATTGAAATTACTAAAATCTCAAAAAATCCCCTTCTTATATACTTATTCTTAACAAGTATATATGTGATCAGATTGTTCGAAGTGTATTGTCCTAATATATCACATAGTTCTGATAATCTTTGTCTCCTTATCACACTATCAAAATTTATCAAAGGGACTAATTGCTTTAAATTTCAACCATTTAATATTATGTAATAAAGAAGTTAAGACGAAAGAAAGAAATTTTTTCCTCTTTTTTTGTATAAACATTATTTTTGGTCACTAAATAGAGGAGAATATAGAAAAGAAAAGGGTTTAATTAATCAATATGAAACTGTTTTACCAACAATGATTCATAAAATCATAATGTTTACTAATATGGTCTACAATGTTAACTAATAATCATTCGTGGTTAAACGAATTTTCCTCTGAAAAAAAAAGAAAAGAATAAAAGAGCAACATACTGATAAACTTAATTCATTCAAAATATGAAACACAAATATACACTAGACTAAACAAATAATGATGCGCAACAAACCAAATGTTATACCATGTATAACATAAGTTGTTCGTCTTTCTTTCTTTTTTTGGGAAAAAAAAGAGAAAAATGTTATCATTGAAATTAATTCACTAATTCCAGTTGGTTGTAAAATTAAAAAAAAAAGAAAAAAAAATCTCAACTATGGATTTGTTTAAAGTGAATCACTTTAAAGAAAATTCATTTCAACAGGGTATGGCAAATGGAAATTATTAATAAACATTTACTAGTAATTCAATTCTTTTACAAAGTAATAAGATGGAATTATATGAAAAGTTGTCAAAACATTAAAATGTAAATGATTATATGGATAATAGTAATAAAAGGGTGAACAAAAATGTGACTAATTTAATTTATTACTAGTCTAATTGATTAGTGTAGAATCAATTACAACTTGTATCAGCCGGTGGTAGATCAAGAAGACTTAATGAACTACCATTTTCTTTTTGATAATTTCCTAATTCATGTCGATTACTCCATTTTGGAATAGGTGTTTGAAAACGAGTTTTATGTGGAGAGGCTGGTAATTCACTCATAACACTAAATACGGATCCTTCACGTGTTACTGAATAATTTCTTGTTCTAGTTGGATAAAGACTACCAGATCGTTGTCTATTGTAATTTCCATAAGTTGTTACATTATCTTCTTGAGCAGTTAAACCTATACGTCTTTCAGCCATTTGAGCACGTAAATCTGCATCATCCACTTGTTGTTGAGCTTTACGATATTTCATTGAAGCAGTTTGAGCAGCATTTTCCTGTAATTAAATTAAATTAAATTCTTAACATAATGGGTTATCAATCTATCGTAAAGATAAAATCATCTCATTTAAAAAAAATTCAATCATGTGATCCGATGCATCATTCACTGTAATTTGTATACTTCTCACATGGAATAATTAATCTGTCATTTGTATTTTGATAAGGCTACCAGAGAAAAGAAAAACATTCATAACCACTAAAAAGAGTACCGACGTTCTTAAGTAAATAAGTATAGTGCACATATATTTGCTATTGTTACTGCATCAAACCAAGCAGACAAAATTTGTTGTTTGACAGTAAGCAACTGTGCTGTTTTCTAATAGGCATTGAGATTAATCTATTCACAGTGTATTACCTATTATTATTTACTAGTAATTGATTTAATTGAACCTAACATTTTACAAAGTACACATACTGCTTCTTCTAACTGTTTCCTGGTTTGTTTCAGTTTTGTTTGAGCTCGTTCAACCATCTCACGTAGTTCGTTTACCATATGCCCAGCATCTTGTTCAGCTTGTACCGATTCTTTGAGTGCTCTCTCACATTTTCTATAAAACAAAAATCATAAAAAACACAAATTATTGAAACGAAATTATATAAACTTAACAAAAACTATCGACTACTTTTTAGGGGTTATCCTTGTTTGAGAGAATTTCGGTCAAATGCCTTCAGTTTTATATTGCAGTGGTAGGTAGCTTCCCCAAATGAATGGCTTCGCATACGTCCGACATCGTTTATGATATTGTTAGTCTTAACGAATACAATTACTTGAGGGAACCCCGGTTTATCCATGCTTTAACATAAATAAAACACTTCCTCCATCCTTTTAGATAACCAGCAAAGAAGATTCAAGTTATTTTACACAAGCGTGTGATCAAGTATATTTCCTCATTCGACACTTTTCATCCTCCTACTCGTTTGTTTTACTGGTAAGACATTTAAAAGGGTTGGTATCAGGATCTTCCAATCCCGTGTTATCTAAACTACTTCAGTATAAAATACTTTTGTGTTTTTCAACATTCTCTTTAAATCCAACTGTCATATGAATGCTCTGGATAAGTCTTATAAATAGTGGACTCTAGTTGAAAGTGTGATGTGTTGTGAAAGATTTAAAAAGTAGCACAACTTATGCATTGAAGTGCCTTCTCTCGTCTTCAGATGATTCTACAATCCACCTTAACTCTGGATGTCCGATGCAAGCTAACTCACGAAGTTCTTCTTGATACTGGAAGGTGTGGAGTCGATGAGAATCGATTTAAAGGATTGCATTAAGTTCAATATTGGTATACAGGCTTTTATGTGCAAATCAAACTTTTTACTGAATTGAAAAATCGAGGCGTGAATTGGAGGCTTTTAATGATTAACCTGAACCGATATATCTAACTGATTTGATGCATTACCCACCGTTCCTGGAAAATAAGTCTGGAGTTTCGGATTCAGCTACAGAAATTGAAGTTGGCGAACATCACCTACCCTCCCTCCGCCTCCACGGATAATATGCAATATCCATGGAGCATCTTGGTTCCAGTGTCCGATATCTTGTAGCTATCCACATCTGACCTCTGAGAGTGACTGGTTCAAACCATGTATGCGTGTCTGTGATAACACACAATTATTATCAAATGAAGATGTTTGGTCAGAGATTAGATCAAATGACTGATTAAGTAGTTGACCATGTAAGTCAATTTAGATCCAATTCATTGTAAGATTCACCTGTGATATGGTATTTAGGTTTGACAATTTGATCGTTAAATTTGAGAAAACATTTGTTAATTCAGACAGTTTTAATTGGACGACTATAGTCATTCCTTACCACAGTATGTCACAGGATAAATACTCGACTGATCAAGTTTGTGCGACGTTTTAATTGAAATCAAGGTAACATTAAAGACTATATCCAACTGCGAGGTGATAATTCATTCATCAACCTTGATGAGTACTTATTTAATTAAAGATTTGGAATTAGATCCGAATAAAGTATATAAAACTTTATTTTGGAACTTAATAAATAGAACTTGATGCATGTGATGAGAATTTATGGTGTTTATAAATATCTTCTTGTGACTAGTTTCATCATCTCTCACCTTTCATTTGGCCTTGAACTGATATGTCTGGTTGGCACAGTATAGCAGAAAACTGAACCATGAATGATTTAGAAAACAAAAAACAAGTAACGGATATCGAAGAAGCTGTGTTATTATTAATTCATTATTAATTCAAAGCAACTAAGACAAACTTTTAAAGGATCACTAACGAGTAACTTAATATTATTAGGCGCGGTAAGTGTTTCTGTAGGAGTGCATTTGGTTAAGCAAAACAATTTTCGAATCCAGCCATCAGTTGTTTAATCAATCAGCAAGTAAAGAAATTACGAAAGGCTAACCTACTGTTCAATAAGTTGGGTCTCCTAGATAGATCAGTCATTTTCCAAAAAAAACAGAATTCATTAAATAGGGAATCAAAAGCTAAGTATTTATATGATCCAAGTTATAGAAATTACCCACTAGATGAGTTACTATCGAATGTAGCGACAGACATCAACATCTGTCATGTCTACATAACAAAACAAATCCTGAGTCCTAGAGGTCAATGGTCAATCGGTTTTCTGAAGGCAACACTGATTTCTAGCGAGGAATGAACTTTACTCATAAAAAATTCGTGCAAATTTCATAAACCTAAAATCCGTATATGTGCGAACCTCAGTTTCACTAACAGTATTAAAGACGGTCAGTAGAAATCTAAATAAACTAATGTCATCGGAACGACGAAAAATCTGATCTTGAAGACTTTCCTAAACAGTCGACAGTCGATGAGGTTTCATATCATGAAGTAACATGTATTCGTTTCATAGAGTGATATAAGTAGGTAAATGATGTGTAACACAACCGTTTATACAGCGTACATAACAGACTGATGCTTCTCGAATTCATAGTAAAACTAGTCATCAACTGGGACAAGAAAATACTCTAGAACCTCACTACCAGTCTTAGAACTCAAATGTAATGAAATTTCACGGATCATGATGGAATAATAGACCTTCTTAGACGTTAATAAAGCTTTAAACTTGAGAAAACATCTAATAAACTGAGCTGTCTAACCTTAGTTGAGTTTGGACCTCTCTTGACTTTCTAGATTCTTCTTCCAAAGCTAGCTGCAACTCTCGTATTTTAATCTCGGCTTGACTTTTGGCATCATCAGCTTCACGTTCTGCTGTATCAGCTGCTCTTCGGCTTTCCAAAATCTTAGCATTGCAGTCTTTTAGTTCAGCTTCCAATTGCCTTCTTGCAGTATCTGCTCGACGTGACGACTCCTGTTCAGTTTGAAGTTCTTGAGCCAGACGGTTAACTTCATTTTGAAGTCTGTCTGCTCTCTCTGTGGCAACCTGTGATAAATGCAAAAAATAATAAGACAATACGTCCTAGATTCTTAATTATTTGTCAAGTGCTTTAGATAGGTCAGCATAATGGATTGGAATGAACAGCCTCCACACTTTAAATCGATTTTATTAATAACTTTAATTTTAGAGTAATTGTACTTGGGAAATATTTTGTAGAAAATTGTAATCTTATAATCGAGATATTCGTTATATGAGAACAGACTAAATTAAGTTGCGATGAGAAAATTTTACTGAAGACGATCAAGTTTCAATGTTAAACTATATTTTTGTTCTAGTTCAAAAGTCAAGAACGAAATCGGGTTATTTTCCATCTTTACACATTAGAGAATTATTTCTAGATCAATGTATTCATTTTCAACGGAAAAATTCATGGAATCATGAACCAGTCAATGTTTGACCACCGCTAAAAGTCTGTAAGCGCTGGCCGGCCGTTTCATCCTAGTATAGGACTCCTTAGCAATGCACATCTACAATCCCGCACACGGGCTCGAACCCAGGGCATTCGGTCTCGAATGAACGCCTAACCTGCAAACCATTTGGGCCAACACACAACGATGTTAATGTCCAAATCGTCTAGTTGCATTCAAAAAGTTCGTCGTATTCCGTGCTTCCCTTCAGATGTGGAGTTCTTTATAATCCAATCAACCACCAGAAGAAAGCGAAAGTAGGAGGGTAGGCAGCCTTGTCTGACAGGTCTTCACTTGGAATATATCTTTCAGCTGTCCTCCATGGACGACATCGTATGAATTCCGTATGATGTTGACTATCCTCTCAGGTACACCATAGTGTCGATGAAGGACCCATAAATTTCTCCTGTCTACACTGTCAAACGCTCTTGTGCTTCCTCCCAAACCTTCATGTACAGAGTGTGAAGCATGGTTGCAGCTCCATAGTAGTTTCTTATTTCAGTAAATCCTTTAAGGCTTGGAACCTATTGGTTGAGTTTGTCAGTATGTCGGAGAAAGGCTGTATAAAACCTTCCTAGTTCTGTTTCTTCGGTTATTCAGTGCTTATTTAGCTTCTTTTTCATCTCGGCGACCATCAGGTGGTGATCTGTAGCTATATCAGCTCCTCTCTTGGTTCTCGCATCTCCCGTTTTAGCGATGTAAATATGATCAATCTAGTTCTGTGTAGTGTGATCCGATGAGACCCATATAGCTTTCTGTATGTGTTTGTGGGGAAATATAGTGCCACTTATAACCATTTTGTTGAATGCACATAAATAAGCAAATCTCTCTGCATTCTCGTTCCTTTCTCCAGTCGTTCCATGTCATCCCAATGATATATTCGGTGTGGTCCGTTCCGACATTGGCTTTTAGGTTTCCCGTTAATATGGTTGGAGCCCTTTCTTGTAAACTTCTCTATAATTGGTTGCATCCTCTCGTAAAACTGATCTTTATCGTCTTCATTGTTATCATTGGTGGGTGCATAACACTGAATAACATTCACTGTGATTCCCTTCACCCTTATTTTAAGGATGCTTTGATAATGCTGGATCCATGAGATTCCCATTCTATAAGTGTTTCGTGTGCTTCTTTGGACAGTATCAGAGAAATTCCCTGAATGTGTGGATCATTTTCTTGTTCGTGACCAGAGTACAGCAGCATCTCTGATGAATCTAACCTTCTCTGTCCTGCTTGGGTCTAACGGGTTTCACTTATTCCGAACACCACCAAGTTGCATCTCCTCATTTCCGTAACTATTTGTCTGATTATCTTGGTCTCACATATTTCTCGAACATTCCATGAACTTATATTAATTGTTACTCTGGCTATTAGGAGCTCATGGCTTCTGTAGATTCTCATCGTTCACCATGAGACACCATAATTCTTTTATAAGAAGATCATTGCATTTGCAGGAGAGAGTATAGGTAGTTTCAATGATTTTTTCTGGTTGGTGTTTTTTAGCAAGGTTGTTTTCTGCTGAACGGTGTGGTTAAAGCCATACTCAAACCTCCTCCTTTACCGGGTCTTGGGACTGGCAGTAGCCGTAGAAGAGCTACAGGTCAAGTTATTTGAAGAAGACAGATATTATTATCAGTGTTTTAGTTGACTCCATCTTGTGCACAAAAATGTTCACATTGGTGAATTATTACTAATCTATAAATGGGAAATTACTTTAAACTATTTAGTTCCGTCAAATCTAAATATATTAACTGCATATGAACAGAGTCAAGATGAATAAGACAGGAATTAAGTCATTTAAAACTGTGAACACCTCATTAATAGACTCCAGTGAAACATGAAGTCGACCCAGATTCGTATTTTAAATGTAAGCATTATTTGGTGTTAGAAATATACTGCAAAGTGTTTCATCAATTGATTTATGATTACACAGGTTGAAATCATGAGTCAGTTGAAGCTAGACCACCATTGAAAACCTGGAAGCACTGGACGGCCGTTTCGTCCTGGAGTTCTAGTGAGAAGCCGTTACCAGTGGAGTTCAACCGGTCTGTTGTGAGATAACAACTCACTGAAGACAATGGGGTATGGTGGCGCAACTTCGTGGATTGGTTGAAGTTAGACATTAACACCACTGGATGCCGGCTCAGTGGTCTAGTGGTTAAGTGCTCGCGCGCGAAGCCAGTAGGCCCTGGGTTCGAGCCCCGCGCGGTGCGGGGTCGTGGGTGCGCACTGCTGAGGAGTCCCATGCCAGGACGGAACGGCCGTCCAGTGCTTCCAGGTTTTCCATGGTGGTCTAGCTTCAACTGACTCATGATTTCAACCTGTGTAATTTCTAAAAAAAACTCTCCACAAAACCCATTCTGATTTATGATTCATAATACACAATGAAATGTACAGGTTGTACATGTCACAGAAAATTCAATATGCCAGTATGCAATATTTGATGACCATTTTTGTCGAATTGCTCTATCAACCATTCTTTGTGTGATGTACTTTCGGGTTTTTTCAATTATTACAGTACAATGGAAAGTATATAAAATAACGTTGCTTAAACCTTAAATACACCAGTATATTTGAGTTAAAGTTGCCAGGATTACAATAGACATTTCATTATTTATATTGTGATTAAACGAGTTATGCTTGTCTTGAAAATGCAATAATAAACTCACATCTTTTGCACCTGTAGCGTCGTCCAAATCACCTTCAAGCACAGCTATCTGACCCTCAAGTTTTCGTTTTTCTGCTGTCAAATTATTTACTTGTATTGTCAAACCACCGAATTTTGTCATGTTTTCCGATGACTCTTCTTCCAGCTTTCGTTTTAATCTTTCTGTGATTTCTAATTGACTCCTTAAGCTTTCTACTTCATTTGATAAAGCAGATCGACGACTTTCGCATATCTAAAAAAGGAATTATTCCTATTTACATTAGTTAATTAAATATAAAAATTATAAACAATTAATTTCATCATAAAAACATTGACTATTTATATTTGAAAACAAGTATTTATATGGATTCATTCATTAGTAACTATACTATAGAACAATGTCATTAATTTACCTGTAAAGTGGTTGCAGTTTCAGAAACCAAATTATTTAGTTCTGTTATATCTATTTCTAATTGACAAATATGTGCTTCTGCTTCTTGATGTAATTTAATAGTTTCTGAATGAGCAGCTTTTCATCTTCTAATTGAACTTGTAAATTATTTATATTTCCTTCTAGTTTCTTTTTAAGTCGGTCTAATTCATTTTGATTTTTCACTTCCATATCTGCTACAGTTGCTTTAAGATTTTCCACATTACGTTGACTTGAACGTCTATAATTAGAATACATGGAATGTCAGAAGCATAAAACTTCAAAAAATGATACCTACTAAAATAATCCTTTTAAACTTTACTAGAATTCAGTTTTTCAATGTTAACATAAGTAATTTCAAAAATAAACAAACAAAAAGGAGACATTGTACATTATTCTATCATTGAAACATGAAAATCAATCTACATCACCTTAAACTTTCCATTTCTTCTTCTTTATCTCTTGATTGACGTTCAAATTCATTTCTTAAAGTACTTAAAGCTGAATATGTTGTTTGGTAACGAGTCTATAAATAAAAAAAGATATTAAGATCTTTATCAAAATATTATTTATATAGGGAGTTGATTTTCATTGTTATGCACTGGTAAGAATTGGATACGTGTAAACGGGTAATGATGAGATACAGCACTAATGGCTAGTGAATAATTACTAACAGATTGTAATCAGTTTCCAATACTTATTATATAAGAAGTAATTACTTCACAATATAAAACAAACTTTGAAATATGCTTGTTTAAACAAGCTTCTACCTGTAACGAATCAACTCAAATATAATTCAGAATATTAATAACTGACTAAGAGACACTTTATACACATGACTGTGGTAGCCAGATAGATTTTATTCACGTTTGTTGTATTTTAAAGTTTTGAAATATTGTAATAGTGAACAACGTTAGGGATTTTCTAATGTATACTCATACGATTAACACCTTAAAAATTGCATTAAGAATCAGATAGTAAGTTGGAATCCAATGAACAGTTAGATGTATGAAGGAATTTACCTCATTCATCCAAAATGAAAATGATGCCCTCAGAATCGGCACACAAAAAGCTTGATAAAGTGTCTCGAGATTCATTGGATGTTAAACTACTTACAACGATATCCATTCTAAACCTCATGTGTATATTAATTAATTTCATTCAAACGAATATTCTATCGACTGTTAATAGGAAGTTTTGGTGATCCGTCCTCTATTGTCTAGGCTTTCAGTTATTAAACCGTCTGTCACTTTTCACAAAATTCATTGTGAGTTAGAAGTCATGGTATTAAAGCTATGTCATTGTATGAACCTGTATTAAGTCGCCTTCTGTTAAGAGCAATAAATTTGATTCAGTTTAGATGTGGGTATTGTAGTTACATGATACTTTTTATCACATTATGGATCATAAAAGATTAAGTATCAAGTTATTCATCAGATTCTGTAGTTGTCTGTCAGTTTGCAGCACTTTTCCTAATCATAAGAATAAACTAAACAAACTATTGTATTTAACTGTAATTAATTATTTCATTTAAAATTTTACATAAATATTTTCTGAAAATATAGAAACTTACTTCACATTCATGTAAAGCATCTTCTGTATCTTTCAATGTAGAGTCTAGATTATCTCTTTCCGTTTCTAGTCTTGCTCGAGAACTCTCCAAATCAGTAACTTGCCGATTAAAACTGATAAACGTTCTTTAGTTTCTTTTAGTTTTTCTTAATACATATATACAATATGAATAATGATAAATAGTAAATAATTGATATAATTTCATAAACTGATTATAAATAAACAAATTTTCTTATATAAAGTATACAATCTTTGGGTGAAATAGTTCAGTACAAAAATTGATTTTACAGGATACAATGAAATATTACTTAATCAATATTATGAATAGTATTAGAAGTACGATGTAATCTTATTTGAATGTTTTAACTATTAAAATAGATTTTATCAGAAAGGGTTTTGTGGAGATTTTAGAAATTTCACTGATTGAAATCATCAGTCAGTTGAAGCTAGACCATCATGAAAAACCTGGAAGCACTGGACGGCCGTTTTGTCCTAGTATGGGACTCCTCAGCAGCGAGCATCCACGATCCCACAGCCGGCGAGATTAGAACTTAAGACCTATCAGTCCATGGTCTAGCTTCAGTTGACTTATGATTTCAATCAGTATAATAGATTTGCTAAGAACAAACATTGTACATATAGACACATTTTCAGAATTAGTGAAGTTGGTTTTATGTTTTACATTGAATTTGTTAAAATTATATTGAAATCTGATACGAATATAAATCGTTTATTTATGTAACTGCATACATCTAGCTAGTCCAAGTAGAAAAGTAAGGAATAGTCTATGTGGTGAGACTATCATTTATGGACAACATCTGAGCGACGCCAGATTGACCTTCAGAGTGTTTACCAGGACCAAATGAGTGGTATAAACCTGTATGAGGAATTAAAATTATAATTTACAATTGATGGTTAAGGTTAGAAATTAGATTTAGATTTTTCATCACGAACTGATATCAGCTATAATGCCATTAATCTATTTAGCCAAAGAGATGAGTAAATTTCGCGCCAAAATCCAAGACCTGTTATCTTATACGTGATTGGTTCGTTCATAAATTATAGTCTCGTCGTCTATGGATTTCAATGGAAAAAATTGAATTAAAAAGTTCTATGTAAAGATCGTTAATATAAGCACTTTTTAAGTTAGAATTATTTCAGTAACTTTTAAGATAATTACAATGAAAACTTTTTTTATTTGATTATACAAATAAAGATGAGTATAGATGTATATTGTATGAAGAATCAATCATATTTAACAAAAAAATAATTTCAACCTGCATGACACTTTGTCCTTCTATATGGAATTTGAAAACTTATAGGCTTCATTACAGTTTGAAGAAGAACTTAAGATAAATTAAAAGAAATGCAAGTAACATATATATATATATATATACATTTACTTCTAATGTTGTCTTATTTTGGGGCGCTCTCTAATAATATCTAATTAGATTATCTATGTAACACATATAACTGTTTACTTTCAGTAAATGTGACTATATGCTATTTCCATAAATGTAAATGTATACGTACTAAGATTTTTTAACTTAGTATATGAATACATGTAAGTAATAATACTTTTCTTAGCTCAGAACAATAACTTCTTTTACTACATAACAATAATGCACTGTTTATTTAAAAAAAGTGGTATTCTAGAATCAATACATTTATTGCAGTTTAACTGTACACACATTTTGAACATAATTCTTTAACTCTTTCAGACCTTCAATAGCGCTTCGTTTATAAGATTAAGAATAGTTTATATCACAGGTTGAATTCAACAATCTTAGAAAACAAGGAGTCGGTGAACAATTTCATCGTTGTAAATGAGAAACTTAAGTAATATATACCGATAATGACGTCAGAGATCAAATCCTAAGTATTCATGCATCATTTGGTATTTAGTAGTTTGTACTTACAACTTCTGTCGGTTAGTCACTGACCCCATAAAAAATATGTGTATAAATACTAACTCAAGGAATGCTACGTAAAGACAAGGAATAAAAGTGATTTGGATCATAACAAAATTTCACATGTATTACATTCTCGTTTTTAATTGCGATGAACTAGCCCTAAAACGCTACTATTTCAACTCCAGAAAATGTTTCTAGTATTAAATTTGTTTCGGTTACTTATGGTCTGCAGAAGAGACTTGTACTAGGCGACTAAACTTCAGATACTCAATTTTCTACTCATTGGGATATCACAAATGTTTCATCGTTTTTATTATTAACAGTCTAAATAGTTTCAGTATCCTTTAAAGTATATCGATAGAACAAAACATGAGTGCTTAAGTGAACAGTTTTGATCTGATCTTATTGTTAGTATCATATTTATAATTCTTATTCTAATACTAGTACATTTTGACATGAATGTATGACTAGTTACTTTTTTGCAACAAACTCTGAAGTAATTTAAATTCATGTATAGCTGACAAGTCTTAAATAGGATGAAACGAGAGTCCTGGATTTCACTGAAATAATTGAATAAAAGGAGTTAACTATACATTTGACCATACAACTATTAAACACTTTTACCGGTATTTTGTTTGTTCTCTTTCTCCAACACCGACAAACGTTCCTCTAGTTCAGATTTAACAGCTCTGATTTGAATAAGATCCCTTTGTAATAAACCGCATTTTGTTCGTAAATTACTTTCTTCAGTTTGAGTTTCTTCTAAAACCGATTCCAGTTCTGTCTTTTGACTTTCCAGGCTTTTGATAGTTTGAACATGTTCAGTGCATTCAGCAAATAACTGAAAATGTTAAATAATGATATAATATCTAGAAATTAAGTTATCTCATTGTTTTAACAGCATGAAGTTTAGTATTATTACCAAACCTTATCAATAAATTAACACTTTGTCAGTATTTTAGAATTAATACTCCTCCATCAATATTAACCCATATTTCGTTACTTCAAACGTTGTGACCTTATCTTATGAGCTACTGAATCACGATAAAAATTGTCTTCACCACAGATGTTAAGTATTTGCCAATAAACATTTGTTACATTAATCCAAAATATTAACAGTGGTGAAATTCAAATTCTAAAAATTTTCCTTATTAATTTAACTAAATGTTTGTATGAATACTGGGAAACAGAGTGCTTAAGCTTCTCATGATGTTCAATTTATAGGTTTGTGTGAACATATTCTAGGACAGGTTTAACGTTTCCAAACCATAAAAAAAAGATCATTTTGAAGGATCTAACTAATTCAATAATAACAAAGCAAACATTGCTTATATAAGTTTATTTAAATATCAGTCACATTGTGGTGCGTGCTACTTATATTGATATAAGTAGTATATGACGCGAGTCAGGAATGTAATGTCTGGCAGGAGAAGATGGGGTAGATCAGGAAAGGAAGAGTGGGAATAGAAAGCAATTTGTATGGAAATGCAAGAACAACGAAGTTCGAGACAATTATTGAACATTTTGCAAATAAAGTATTATAGTATGGTTTTTCTATTTTACCAAGTAACTCTGTAATTTTCGTGCTAAATACGATTCGACTGTCCCCACCCGTGTTCTGTTCACTACAACATCACACTTATGGGTCGTGTTTGTTAGTTTCAAACATTAAAATGTATTGTATGTATGTGATTAGTAAATTACGTAGAATCTGAACTCACGTTATCTAATTGAGATTGTATTTCTTGACATTGATTAGCTAATTGATTCTTGGTACGTTCAAGACTAATAACTCGACCACGTTCAAGTTCATAGGATTCTGTTAATTCATTGATACGATTGTTCAAACGACGTCTAACAGTAATCAATTAATAAAATGTGTTAAAGTTTATTATCATATACTGAATAATTTTATTCTAGATAGTACAATAACTTACTATCGGTATAATATCTTTATTTAGACTATTCAGTATATGTATTATATCACTGAGGTAAACAACAGCTGAAAAGTTAGGTATATTGATTAGTTCTTTTGTTCTAGTACTGTTAGATATTGACTTATTTATGAACAAAGAGTTTTAAAACTTCTTCATTAAGCTGTACAGTTATATATGTAAAATTATTTTTGTGTTACAGTGCACAAAATATATTAAATTCGGATTAATCCATATTATTGGTAATGTCAAGACAGGTCATGCATAAAAGATAAGAACTGTATACTTTAAGGTGATGTATGGATCCTGATCATTAAGTTAATATTGTATATAAAGACATTTCAATATAAAACAGGAATTGTTGTTTCATAGTTGTCATGATAGTAATAATAATATTGACATGAATATTAAGTAAAATTGAAAAGATGAATGTATATTCAAAGAAAGAAGTGCAAGTCATAATGGGAAGGATTGGAGCAAAGTGGAACGAACAATCACACGACCTTAATGTAAGCCAAAATAAACAATGAGGTTGAATGTATCTTTTTTGTATACATAAGTAAGGTTTTTCTGAATTGATATCGATTGTTTCAGCTATATGGAGTATAAGTAGTCTTTTTTAGAAATTACTGGAAACTTGATTGATAATTGAGAAACAATCTTCAACTAAGAAGGAACGAATGGCACACTTGAGGTTAAAAAATAACATTAACCAAACTAAGTACATGACCAAGACGAAATTATATGTCTTCAAGTGTTCTATTTAGAGTAGTTATAAATTTTATACATTTATCTTACATGACTACTAAATGAAATTGCCATTTCACAAAATTTCGGCATTCATTTTATCAACAAGAGTCATTAGTTTCTAGTAAAAATTAACACATTTCTGAAATCTGTCATCACTCACACCGTCTTAATTTATGAAAGCAGAGTACTTAATGCTGTGATGGTTTAGTTGGTCTGATAAAACTATGAAGATAAAACCATAGGCTAACAAATTCAATATAAATATTTCATCAAGATAATACAAGTAAAGTACCTGTAGGCAACAAGTTATTGTTAAATGATGAAAACCAAGGTCATAAGCTAACCAATCATCACTAAATTTTTCCTATTTTTATTGATCTGTTGTTTTGTTTAACAAATGTGTTGTTTCTTTCTTAAAACGGTTAGACCTTTTTATAAACTTCGATATAGTTATGAAAAGAAGAAGTTGATTTGTAAAATATAAAGTACTGATGTAGTATACTTTGAACAACCTGGTCATAAATTTACTTGTTATGACATAAATGATCAATAAAATAAATTACATATATCATATTAAAGTGAATTATGTAATCATTTACTAAAGAATCATTAATAATTAATAAGTTACATACTTGAGTTCATCAAATTCTTCAGTTTTCTCATTAAATTCTTTTTCATATTTTGTTTTAGTTTGTGTTAATTCACTTGTAAGTCTAGTAACTTGAGTTTGAAGTTTCACTACACTTTCAGCTTCATCATCTGCTCTATGAATTAATGTATCTAATTCTTGTTGTACTGTATTTAATTTATTTTGTACTAAGGTTCTAGTCTATAGAAATTGAAATAAAGAGATTTTTTGATGAATTGTGAATAGTTAATTGTGTGTATTATTAAAATGAACATTTTTTTTAATTTGACAGGTTTAAGATGAACGTTTAGCTGTCTTTTTTTTGTCTGTCATTACGATTTAGTGTCCAGACTAACTATTAATGTACCCTTCCATTAGATAACAGGACATAATCCTGAATGAATATAGGTACAACTGATTTCTATTTTGGTTGAGATCATGAACCGATTTATGTTAGACCACCGTTGAAAATCTGGAAGCACTGGACGGCCGTTTCGATTGATGATCTCAATCAAAAACTTAGTAATCTCCATGGCCCTATACTGATAATTAAAATGTGCTCACTAGTGACTAGCTTCGTGAGGGAATTCTCGGAGTTCTAGTAAGAAGCTGTGACCAGTGGAGCTAATCTGTGTCGGGTAGAGACAAGTATCTACCTCAGTACAATGGAAGATGGTCGCTCAATTTCGTGGATCGGTTGATGTTAGACACTAACACCATTGGATGCTGGCTAAGTGATCCAATAGGTTGAGCGTTCGCGCGCGAGACTGAAGGCTGTGGGTTCGAATCCCGCAGGCGGGATCGTGGATACGCACTGCAGAGGAGTCCCACAATAGGACGAAACGGCCGTCCAGTGCTTCCAGGTTTTCGATGGTGGCCTAACATCAATCGGTTCATGATTTCAATCAAAAACCTAATGATCTCCGCAACCCCTATACGGATGATTACTATATAGAGTTAGACAGATTGATAACTCCGTCCGTATCTCTCCCAAGGTTACTGCCGGTCCAAAGCCAGGATAAAAGAGGAGGGTTGAGCATGGAGTCAGCAGCCCTATCCCATAGAAAACAACTTTGCTAGAAAAATGCTAGTCAGACAGACTGATTCCGACATAGACATGTAATCGGTTCACTTAGATCAATTATCCACTTACAGAATAAAGTTTGTTATGGAATACATATAAGTCTTTATGCAATCTATGTATTTACTTTGATATTCTTGGCTTCCACAGTATATTATTTGTTCATTTCTTTTGATTATCTAATTGTTTCTGTTAATTTAATGCATTTACTAATACATACAACACATCATAAAATGGTAATAGTTACAATGATTATAAATTCATATTCTATTACAATAATTACACCATAAACCTATTTATTTACATTGTTCATAGATAAGAGACTGAAGTGAAAATCTATTATGAAGTATAATAAACATTTTATGACAAAATTTTAATAAAAGAAAGAAAAGATTGAAATTATTTATCACCTTTTTTGGATAAATGTAAACACATATTGTTTACCTTTGAAAATAGTCATTAATGTTACATGAATAAAAGCTTATTATTGTTTAAAAACAATCTTAGTATTTTTATTTGTTGCCTTTTTTGGACTGGAATCGTTCTTAACGATCTGTTGTAAAATGTTCACTGTAACGTAGTTCGATATGTTGGATCAAAAAACACAAATAATCAGGACTCCGAAGTAGTTTTCATCTATTACTTCAAAGGTATCGACTCAAACTACAATCTTCAGGCTCACAACTCGTGTTTAACTTTCGAAGCACGGTTCTTGTAACCAATTTTCTAAATAAGTTATCTCAGTCAATTTGAGATATTGTATGACCATCATTCATGTTCACTGGTGATATTTGTATCATACTCAATCTAGGTGGGTTCCAATGATCACTGTTTCTTATTAGAACTCTTGAATCTAACTCTCTCAGTTAGTTACGAATAAGAACAGAATGAATGTCAAATAAGGCATTTACAGGATTGATGGATTAAGGCTTCACATCACTGACTGACTTTGTTCGGCAACCATGATAAAGCTACAGACTAAGACTTCTAATAAGTCACATGCTAGAACGGAATAATTATCCAGCACTTTTTAGTTTTTAGTATTTTTCCAACTTACGTTAGATTTGTTAAACTTTAAGTGAAGATCATACCAATTGACTTTTAATAACAAACGAAAACTTAACTTCAATATTCAGTATTAATCATATTGTTAAAACTTAATAAATCGGATTTAGCTGACGTTTTATAATAAGTTCTTTTGTTTATTAGTTTGTCCTTTTATTTTTACTTTATTTTTATCTTATTATAACAGTACCTTTATTTCTTCTTCTAAAGCTCTCTTATGATCTTCTCCTACTGATTCAGCAATCGATTGTGCTCTCTGACAACTTGCCAAAGACGTATTTAACTTTTCTATAGTTCTAGCCTGTTCAGTTGCTTCAGCAATGAGTTGAGCATTTTGTGAATTAAGTTCTGTAATACGTTTTTGGCTCTCTTCATAGTTTGCTCTCAATCTTATAGTTTGAGATTCAAGTGTTTCTTGTTTTGATTGAGCAACAGTCTGGTTAGCAGAGAGAATAAAAAACAATTTTTTATACGGTGATTTGAAAATTGGTTAAACATTTCTATATTGACTAAGTGGATCACGGCGTCGTTTAGCAGTAGACTGGCATAAATAAAATAAAATATTTCATACGCATATATGTTTTAAGGATTGTAAGTCAGTTGCTTTAATAATTTTTAACAGTTTTAAACCTTTTGGCATTAATGAATTGGTTTCAGACAACATTTTGTTGATTATTCAGAATTAGAACATTATTCAGTATAGAATAAACGTATTTAGAATAAATATATTGAGATATAGTTACAATCTGTCTCTTATGTCCAGTAAATTTACATTTGTAGGTCTTCTGATCTACGTGGAGACGTGTATGGTTATTTGGTCTTCTAAACAGAAACATTATATTACGACTAGGCGGGGAGAACTTAATTGCTTATACGATTCACTAATAAGTGACGGTTAGGAGTTCAGAAAATTAATATTTTTTTATTTGTCGAACATCGGTAAGACTGCTAAGCTGATTAAAATCAATTTGGTAACTTCTGGGTTTTGTGTTATAATACCGATTGGCATGCATATCGTGAATAATTTTACAAAGTGTACCTATATTTATTTTTGAAATAACTTGGAATTAGTAAGAAGTTTACTGTGTCATCATAATTCCTTATATACCCTTAAAACTCTCATAGAATACCTGAAATCACCATGTTGTTTTAATTTTCCTAACTTTTTCATCCACAATTTTTATTTTATTTCAATAGTCTGTAGTATCATCATCACCACAGAGTAGTTTCACGTCGATAGTATAGTAAAGTTTTATCTAAAGATTACACATCCATATCAGCTTCATCACTTCAAATGCTGATAGATTAGTTTTGAACATATTTTTCTAATTATTGATCAAATTTAATAAGTATTATTGGTAGAAAACCAGGAACAGTTTGAAATTGGAGAATTGCATTTACTTGAAATAATACATATTAAATTTTCTCAGTTTTTCAGTTGGTGATTTTTCATAATCAGTTAAATTAAATAGTTTTCTCATGTAGTTTACATCCATCAGCTGGTTTTAATATTCTAACATTTTAACTTTTCATTGTATTACAGTATTATAGCGGTATGAAAGTAACTGAAAGTATTCCAAAAAGATTTTTGTTTCCATGAAATATAACCCAATCACATCAGTTCTTGAAAATAAAACGATATCCATTTTAAGTACATATGTAATACGAAGAAAATTTTGACTGAGTATACTATGAGAATAGCATCATTTGATCTCTGCTAGCAAATTACCTTATTGAATGTTTTACAGTTTGAAGCGTTAAATGTTAAGTTCACGTTCAAGTGGATAAGACTGAAATCAATCGGTTGCTGATACATTCAGTTATAGAATGAAAACATAATTTATATTTTTATTTTACCTACTATTAAATACAATCAGTTATTGTAAACAGCAATTTATTACAATAAATATATTCAGCAACTAGGCAAATGATATCCTAACTTTAATTCAAGTTAACATTCATTTACCCGTAGTAATCTGAGCCTCATTTAAAAATAAGCATATGGATTACTGTAGCACATTTCCTTAAATCTCTAGACTACCATTTTGATATAGTATTATTAAGAATCCAATGCTTATTCTACAGTCTATAGATTTTGTTAAGTTTTCAATCGATGCTTTGTGGTGCGTGCTACTTATATTGATATAAGTGGTATATGACGCGATTCAGGAATATAATGTCTGGCAGCAGAAGATGGGGGAAGATCAAGAAAGCAAGAGTGAGAATAGAATGCAATTTGTATGGAAATGCAAGAACAATGAAGTCTGAGGCATTTTAAGACAAATGATGGACATTTTGCAAATTAACGATTTAATATATGGTTCTCAGATTTTATTCATATGCTCTGTAATCCGGTTGTTCCCACCCGTGTCCTGTTCACTACAGCTTTATCCAACAAATACTATGAAGATTATTACCTTCACTTAGTAAACTAAAGTTTATTGACAATTGCACAACTTTGAAAAGAACGAGAACCAAGATTCTAGCAGAATAACATGAATTCATTTTATTTCGTAGGTTCTCGTCAGCTGCTTACAACCTATAGTATTTAAAAAGATAATAATTACATAATGGGTTTATATTGCTTACATGAGAGGCACTAGTTAAAACACTATTTTATAGGGCAGAAAAGCTTTGTACCACTGATAAGCTGGAAGAAGAATTGGTGAACGTACAAAAATGCCTACGAGACAACGATTACCCTTAAAGTTTATCGACAAATATAAAAAGCGTAAAGAAAATAATACTGAAGTAATTACTGTCAATAAAAAACCAATAACTATAAGTCTTAACTTCAGAGGTGATGATGTTGCTAACACAATCAACAGGAGACTCAATACTGCGCTAGCCAGAACCTATCCGGCCGCCAAACTTCAAATTCTGTATAAAACAACATGTTCAATAACTCAATCAAAGGTTGATAAGCATTTTTTCATGTTACCACCAATTGTATTTAAAAATTTACATGTACCTGCCAAAGCAGCTACATTAGCCGAACAGAAAGGAGGGCATATCTCAGATTTTTTGAACATGTTCCAAAAAACCTCAGAACAAGAGAAAGGGAGACTCTAAGTAGTGCAATCACTAAACATCTCCTTGACACAGGCCATCAGGTTGACACCCTACAATCATTCAAGGTTATTAGTAAGCAGCCAAACTCCAGTCTTCTGAAGTTTGCTGAAGCAGTTGCTATCAGGCGCCAAAAACCTGATTTATGTGTTCAAAAGGATATGAATTTTAATCTTTCCCTGCCTTGGTGACAAATATTCTTCCACTGCAGCTTGAAATTTTTTAATTTTTATCTTTTATATTTATTACGTCATTGATTTTATTTTCTCAACTATCTTTAAAAATTAATAATCTTCCAACTGAACTCTACTCACTATATTCCTATCAATGTTTATTCATTATGTAATCAATTGTTTCTACCCCTTTGAACTGTTGTCACAATTAATGTTGTAGAATATTCTTTCACATTAGGTATATATTTACAATATTCAGCCTATTAATTTCATTTACACCCATGTCATACTTTACGAATATTTCTTCAATATAAACCCTCTCATGTAAGCAATTCAAACCCATTATGTAATTATTATCTTTTAAATACTATAGGTTGTAAGCAGCTGACGAGAACCTACGAAATAAAATGAATTCATGTTATTCTGCTAGAATCTTTGTTCTAGCTCTTTTCAAAATGATAAAGGGAACTATGTGTATGAAATTGCACAATTAACTGACATCTTTGTTTTACATAAACGTTACATGTTTTATGATGTATCGTTTAGTGTTGAAAAGATGAATCTATTTTTCTAGTACTAACCTAACAAATATAAATTTTAAAAAATAATAATTTATTGCTTACTTTCGCTTTATTAGCATCTTCAACTTCAATAAAAGCATTTTCCAATTGTCTAGCCATTTCAGATCTTTCTTTTTCAGCTCTAAATATTCAACAAATTTAAATGCAATTATTATTAGTGTTATCGAACATTTTAACGGTGACCTACCTGAATAAATAAATAATGAAAATTGACTGAAATCCAATGGCTATTTAAAATGCATATCACTAAGGTGAAAGAGGTAAAGAAGGTCATTCAATTTGTCTTTACTGTATGTCAACAACGGAGGAATTACCATGAGAAAAAGAATTTATGAAAACATAACAAATTGGATTCAATTTTAAGTGATTTAATCCTTAAAGAAGCAATATTGACTGACATATCTGATCCGGCATAATATCAAATGTATCGCAAAAATAATTACTAACTTGGATTTCGCCTTTTGAAGAACATTTATTTCAAGATTAAGATCATTGACTGTGGTTTGATGACGACGTCTTAAATTTTCCAAACTTTCTTCATTTGCATCACGAATTGTACCCAGCTCTCTATGAACACGAGCAAACTCTTGTTCCCGTCTTTTGATAGTTTCCTCCTTTTATAAAGTAAATGTAATGTATTTGAATTTATTAAACTTCATTTTAAGCATGAAACCAGTTAATATTCCTATATTAGTAATAAACTACAATATATTGTCTACGAATGCAAATCGGAAGATTTGGTTGGTATATTTGTAAAAATATTCTCTGCAAAATTAATATCTCAGATATATAGTGTGATAAAGCTATGTTTCTTAAGAACAACAATAGTACACTTGTTTTGATAATTTTAATCCGTCCTAAAATGTCGACGTTAGGATGATGAACAATATATTCTGTGAATTACCTCTATTTCGACAAATAATCACTTTCATAGTCAAATAGAACTCCTCAAGTTTATCAGAATACTAAATCCTTCAATCAAATACTTATCAACGGTATTAAGTGAGAGAATATAAAATGATGTTTGTTCAGTTTATACCGACAAAAAATTCATTACATTAAATTTCAGTATCACCCATGAATAAACCAACTTATACATCTTATGAGCTGAATATAAATTTCTATTGACTAGTTAGGTTGGTACTTAATAAGTTGGTTAGTTAAATAATTTCATAAGAAATCAAGTTCATGTTTTGCTTCTTTCCTTTACTCCAACAATTATGAAGTCTAAACTGAAATTAAAGTAATATGCTATTGAATTAGAAACAGTTATTTAGTTTAAGGTTCAAATAACCTGTTAAATTTATCATTCATGAAGGTGGCTATACGGTTTCTAGTTTACAAACGTCCTAAATGATTTTTGTGATCAGCAAATAATGTTACATTTTGGTACCTAATCTTTACGATCAATTATATATCTCTCTATATACATTGAATAAGACAATTAATTTAATGAACTTCTGTTAATTATTTCATATAATTAAACCTTCTTAAGTTTCACAGTACATTCAAACATGTTTTTGAATGAAATACTGAAAAACACTCTTCGTTCAATAAATGAGTAGTAAGTTTGAACTTCTCAATGATTATATCAACCATAACTATCACATAATTACACTTGGTATTGTTTGCTTGAATCTTCCCATTGCGGTTTAGGACTGCAATTGATCAGTTTCTTGTTGGCATATTTGCATACTATGTGTATTGCCTCGATTTGCCTTAATTCACAAGCTTGATAAGCAAAGGTGGATAGTGGGTAGCAGTGGAATCCAGTACGAACGTTCCGTACTATTTGGGACTCATCAGCTGGATGTACCTGCATCCCAGAGTTGATGTACACTCCGGGACTCGAACCGCAGTACCATTCGCTCCAAACGCCTTCGCGTTATCCGCTCAGCTACTGAGCCCTGATAGCCACTTGTTTGTGCAATAGGGTGGATTTAAATTCATTTGGTATGGTTTACTTGAATCTTATGTAATTACTAAATCAATACAGATTGAAAATTGTACTGTAATATATCTTTATGGAAATAAATATTTATGATACAGAAAGAGTTTATACTCACTTGTTGACTTATTTGTTCTCTAGCATTTTGAAAATCTGCATTTAATATGTCGAACTCAGCATTAATTTCAGCAAGCTCCCTTTCCGTCTAAAGTTAATGTATACAATAATAAATATTGAATTTTATAATGATAATATGAATTCAGTTTGGAGATTATTTTTTTTATTTTTAAAGTTCCAATTGTTAAACTAGAATATAAAGCTTGGTTCAGTGGTATTATGTAATAGAAGAAAAACATATTTTATCACCTAAAAATTCGTTCTTTTTTCAAGTATAGTCTCCTTCTTAAGTCTGAAAAACTGCTTTGTAAGAGAACGTTACGAATTACCAATGATCATAAATAAGTCTAAAGGTGGTTGGGTAAAATGGTCAACAAATCTGTAGATAATGACACACTTTACTATATGGTAGATAGTGAACATAATATCAAAACAGATGAAGCTTTCACAGTTTTATATCAAGTCTAGAATGATTTCGTAAAAGATTCAAGATTAACCCACTTTCCTAACGATGAAACTTTTAATATCAGCTGGAAGAAACCAGACACATGTGTGAAACCGTTTTTGTTCACAAGGCCCCACAATGAGGTACTTTCACATTGAACACGGTCAGTATTGTCAATATACACTGTTAACATTTGCTCTCTCTCTCTTGCGTATATCTTTATCCTACATCTTCCTAAGACATTTTATTAACTGCATATTTATCTTGTATAGTTCATATGTTATTGCGGTGTTAGCGACTCCCCATCTCATTATCATAATCATTATACACATTAATATGACATATTACATATATTCTATACAGTTCTAATCTCTTGATTTGAACTCATTACCTTAAGGTATAATTTTTTCTTTTACCATATAATCTGGCCTTTCAACTTTATTAATAATGCTTTTTGTTAGTATTTAAGACATGATCCATATGTAATCCACTACTATTTTATTAATAACACCGATTAATTCAATCAAGACTTTTAAATGTGTACCCTAAAATACGATCTTTTGTAACACTATGTTTACAGATTTATCACTGTAGAAGAATTCACTGAAAACAATTCTTTACTCAGATTTTGGATTCTGAATATGAATAAATTGCTAATGTCCTCTTTAACTATGTAGACTTCGCTCGTATTTTCAAGTAAAGAGACAGGGGAAATATTTTCAGATTTGGAACTTCATTTTTACCAGATGTCTAAGGATCTATTTCATTCACAGATTTAATGGCACGTTGTTTATGGAAATTAATTTCAACAATTTAAAGTGTAATATAGATGTCCTATGCAGCAAAGCTGTGGATAATGTTCAATAATAAGGACTTGTTTTCTGCATCCATAAAGAATAAGCTTCGCCGTTTGGTCGCCTCCTTACGCATCTACCAGTTCACCTGTTCTTGTGGAGTAAGGTACATAGGCTGTATCCAGTACTCGCTCATAACTTGGATACGAGAACATGTCCCAGTGTGGTTCCACATGGGTGCACACAAACAATCTTTTATTGTTACTATCCATATTACGCAATTTAGTAAAATAATCTTTCTATTACACCATTATGCTTATTCCTTGTTCATATGTCCTGACAAGACTAGTAGTTTAACAAAACATTTTCATATATATATACGATTGTAGAACTCTATAACGAATTTGTTGAAAAGAGATTCCTTCGCTGAACTTCTTGTTTTTAATATAGATGTGAAACATATGCCCGGATTGTTGTATGCTTATCACTAATGGTGGTTGCGCAATATCCGAAATTGATCAAAGTCGGAAATGCAAATCATCAGATGTTAACTTAGCCGTCAAAAAGCTAAACGATTTCCTAGAGGCATGAATATTTCGGGTTCGATCGTTGGTCAGGCCATGAGTGAGTTCGTCTGTGAAATCTCATACTAGGATTCAAACACTACCATGTTTTTTCTGGTTTCCAGTATTTGTTTAACTAAATTCAGTCTGTAATGTTAAACTACAAAAGAATTGGTTTCTTAGACATTGGGAATATTTCACAAATTTTCAGGAAATTTCAGTCATCATTAAATTGTTCTTATTCGGTATCTATAATGTAATTTGATGATAAAATTAATCATAAAAAGATTTGGAGAAGAGATCGATAATAAATAGAAAAAATTCCATATCATGTTCATCTTGGAATGGTTAGTTCGGTTATTTGACTGAATCTGAATTCTGACTTCACTTGAATGCATATCTATTCCGATAGAGTATAGATGGATACATCCATAAATCTCATTGTGCTATACAAATATAATAGAATGAAACTTTCAGCCAAGTAGAAGACTATAAAAAACTGAAATAATATACAATTCTTTGATTTCACCGGATACATCACTACTACTAACTTGAAACAGAACTACCCATATCAGTACATACTATTCAAATCACTTGAAATAACATAAATTACGATATATTGTTTAGACTGAAACGTGGCGATAACTGAAAGTTTTTCGTTTTCTCCCAATCTCTCTCTTATATTTTATCGTACTGAGCAAACGAGACGGTAGTTAATCAAACTTAAATGTGCCTATACTGATTAATTATTTGGATGATCCTTCTGTACTAAGATAATGTTCAAAGAGCATACAAATGTCTAATACAAAGTACAATTTTACAAAAATTTTATTGAAGAAAAGTCACAATAATTTGGTCAAACTGATGCATTAAGTTGAAAATGAAAACTGGAGTGGTAATATTATGTATCCAATATAAGATGAGTGTCCAGAAAACTGATTAATTCTACACATCTATATTGGTTTTAAATCTTGAGCGGTTCATATTCTGTGTTGAATCAACAGAATGATATGTACACGATACATTTTTATGATCTTACACATATTAAATAAAATTTACGCTGGCTAGGCACAAAAAATGTAAAAGTATCACAAAACTTCATCTAAAGAGAAAAGATTTAAGAAAAGTACAATTACTGTCACATATACATTTTATTCAAGATAACTTTTAGTAAAGTAAGCATCACACAAAATGACTCAGATTTTGATTTCTGCTTGTAACCAATTGTTTTAATATTTTCATTTTTAAGAATGACCGAAATCTGATTGCACCCACTTGTGTTCTTGTTCACTACAATATGATGTGGCATCCATCACTGTTCAATAATATATTTCGTACATAATCTGTTAGTCTCAGAAGGGGGTCATATGGATATTATAGTAATTTTATTAGTTGAGATCATGAGTCAATTGAAGCTAGACCACCCTAGTCACTCTTTTGATCATATTGATCGCATATAATGAACATGGAAATGTGGATCAGTCTTATCATAACAATAATAATGGTTGTCATTATTATTACTATTATTGTTATTATTAGTAGTAATATTATTGCTTTTAAGTAACAAACAACAACAAATATTGAAATGAAAAAAAATATCCCAGTTGTTCAAATAAATCACTGTCGAAATTACAAAATCGCAAAACTATTTTTGTTTTCGTTCTTTTCACTTTACAAGTTGTTAACACAAAGTACCCCCAAATATTACACTGAATTCCATACTGATTGTCATCATAAATGTCAATACTAATTTATACTGCATGTTTTTTTCTTACCTTTTATCTCAGAATTTCCACAGGAAAAATTATCATTCAAATGACAATATTATTCAGATAGAAAATGTTTGAAGAATAGTTAATGTTTAAAGATAATCTAAAGTAATAATTAAAGTTAGATGAGTGAGGGAAAATGACAAACTTTGGAAGCTACTTTTGAGATCAATAATTATATTTTTAAAGTACATTTATCAAATACTGATTTTATAATGTTTTCCGATCTTTCTAATTATAAGCTTTCTTTTGATTAATTATCAACTACTGTTATTATAACTCCGCCTGTAGCTCTAATAGGGTTACTGCCGGTCCCAAGCCCGGGTAAAGGAGGAGGGTTGGGCATGGGGTTAGCGTCCCCATCCCGTAGAAAACTAACTCGCTAAAAAAACGCTTACCAGAAAAAATTATTCAAACCATTTAAACTCTGCCCTGGGAGTTAGAAGGTCTTCAGTTAGAAGAATTATGACGCTTCATGGTGAAAGCCGAGTTCCTTCGGAAGCCACGAGGCCGATGCCCCTTCTAACAACCAGAGCAAAAATTTTTATAGGTACATGGAACGTTCGAACAATGTGGGAAACCGGGAAGACCAGTCAAATAGCAATGGAAATGAGGAGATACAACTTAGCAGTACTGGGAATCAGCGAAACCCACTGGACCCAAGCTGGACAGAAAAGGCTAGCTACGGGAGAGATGCTGCTATACTCCGGTCACGAGGAGGACAATGCTCCACACACTCAGGGAGTCGCTCTTATGCTGTCCAAAGTAGCACGAAATGCACTTGTAGGATGGGAGTCTCACGGATCCAGAATCATCAAAGCATCATTCAAAACAAAGAAGGAGGGGATCTTAATGAATATTATCCAATGTTATGCACCCACCAATGATAGCAACGACGACATTAAAGATCAGTTCTACGAGCGGCTACAGTCAATCATTGAGAAATGCCAAGAAAGGACCTAACTATTCTGATGGGAGATCTAAATGCCAAAGTCGGAATAGACAACACCGGATATGAAGATATCATGGGACGACATGGACTGGGACAGAGAAACGAAAATGGAGAAAGATTTGCAAATCTATGTGCATTCAACAAATTGGTCATAGGAGGCACAATATTTCCACACAAGCGTATACACAAGGCTACATGGATCTCACCGGACCACACTACAGAGAACCAAATAGATCATATTTGCATCAACAAAAAATTCCGAAGGACAATGGAAGATGTGAGAACCAGGAGAGGTGCTGACGTAGCTTCAGATCACCACCTAGTTGTAGCCAATTTAAAACTGAAGCTAAAAAAGAACTGGACAAGTGGACAAACAGCACTACAAAGGTTCAATACAGCCTTCCTTCGAGATACTGACAAACTCAATGAATTCAAGATAGCTCTCAACAACAGGTTCCAAGCCTTACAAGATCTACTGAAAGAAGAAGAAACTAGTATGGAGGACAACTGGAAAGGCATCAAGGAAGCATTAACTTCAACGTGTCAAGAGGTTCTGGGCCTAAAGAAACACCATCATAAGGAATGGATCTCTATAGAAACACTGGACAAGATCAAAGAAAGGAAGAACAAGAAGGCAGCAATTAACAACAGCCGAACACGAGCAGAGAAAGTTCAAGCACAAGCTGAATACATAGAAGCAAACAAACAAGTGAAGAGGTGCATTAGAGCCGACAAGAAGAAATACGTGGAAGAACTAGCAACGACGGCAGAAAAAGCTGCTAGAGAAGGAAATATGAAACAGCTTTACGATACAACGAAGAAACTAGCAGGGAAATACAGTAAACCAGAGAGGCCGGTCAAAGACAAAGAAGGCAAGCCAATCACCGAAATTCAACAACAGCGTAACAGATGGGTGGAATACTTCGAGGAACTCCTGAATAGGCCGGCTCCAATGAATCCACCGGACATCGAAGCAGCACACATAGATCTTCCTATAGATGTCAACCCACCAACGACGGAAGAAATTAGAATGGCCGTCAGACAAATCAAGAACGGGAAAGCAGCAGGACCCGACAACATACCAGCTGAAGCACTGAAATCAGACATCGAAGCAACCACAAGCATGCTGTACCTTCTATTCAAAAAGATTTGGGAGGAGGAACAAGTGCCGATGGACTGGAAAGAAGGACACCTCGTCAAGATTCCAAAGAAAGGAGATCTGAGCAAATGTGAAAACTACAGAGGCATTACACTACTGTCAATACCAGGGAAAGTCTTCAACAGAGTGTTGCTGAACCGGATGAAGGATGCAGTAGACGCCCAACTTCGAGATCAACAAGCTGGATTCCGTAAGGATCGGTCGTGCACAGACCAAATTGCAACACTACGGATCATCGTCGAACAATCAGTTGAGTGGAACTCATCACTATACATCAACTTCATTGATTATGAAAAGGCATTCGACAGTGTAGATAGGAGGACATTATGGAAACTTCTTCGACACTACGGAGTTCCTGAGAAGATTGTCAACATTATCCGGAACTCATACGACGGACTACAGTGCAAAGTAGTGCATGGAGGACAGCTGACAGATGCATTCCAAGTAAGGACTGGAGTCAGACAAGGCTGTTTACTCTCTCCCTTCCTCTTTCTTCTGGTGGTCGACTGGATTATGAAGACCTCGACATCTGAAGGAAAACACGGAATACAATGGACAACTCAGAATCAATTAGACGATTTGGACTTCGCAGACGACCTAGCCCTCCTATCACGTACACACGAACAGATGCAGATGAAGACAGCCAGTGTAGCAGCAGTCTCTGCATCAGTAGGCCTCAGCATACACAAAGGGAAAACCAAGGTCCTCAAATTCAAACGGAGAACAGCAATCCAATCACTCTTGATGGCGAAACTCTGGAAGATGTAGAGTCCTTCACATACCTAGGAAGCATCATCGATGAACAAGGAGGTTCAGATGCAGACGTAAAGGCGAGGATCGGCAAAGCAAGGGTCGCATTCCTACAATTGAAGAACATATGGAACTCAAAACAACTTTCAACCAATATCAAAGTGAGAATCTTCAATACGAACGTCAAGGCAGTTCTACTGTATGGAGCTGAAACTTGGAGAACTACAACAACCACATCAAGAAAGTACAAGTATTTATAAATAGCTGTCTACGCAAGATACTCAACATCCACTGGCCGGATACCATCAGCAATAGCCTTCTGTGGGAGAGAACAAAGCAACTTCCAGCTGAAGAAGAAATTAGGAAAAGACGATGGAAATGGATAGGACATACATTACGCAAATCGTCAAACTGCATCACGAGGCAAGCCCTAACTTGGAATCCTGAAGGGAAGCAGAAAAGAGGAAGGCCAAAGTACACATTACGTCTGGAAATCAAAGCAGATATAAAAAAGATGAATTACAACTGGACGGAGCTGGAAAGGATTGCTTGGGACAGGGTTGGACGGCGAATGCTGGTGAGCGGCCTATGCTACTTCACGAGGAGTAACAGGCGTAAGTAAGTAATTAATTAATCATATACCGAATATATATATATATATATATATATATATATAACGCTGTTATGTAATAACTAGGCTCAATTAAACAACCAATGAAGTTTTTCAATGAATTACATGATATCATAAATTGAGCATATGCCACCAGTTTTAGCTAGTAGTTAATTTAATACTTTGGGATTCTCTGTTAAGAATATCAATATTTTGTTAAGTAACTACACAGTAATTTAATTATTATAGTCCCATATTTTTATGTTTTTGTATGCCTTAATGACTGTACAACAGCATGAATAAGCAATATCCAAACCAAATTATATAAAATATTGAAATTATAAAAAAAAACATCCTCAAACAAGATAAAATCATGACTTGTTGACAAGTGATATGTTCCAATTCTAGTAAAAATTTTATTAGAACTATTAATTAAACAAATAGTTTCTTTAAAATACATTTTAATCATACCTTTATTCGTAGAGAACGTTCTTCATCCAATTGATCTTCAAGATCTTTCACTCTTGTCTATAATATAGAAAAATATACACAAAAATGAATACTATGAATGGAAATGTAAAATGATGATTAAACAGCGTGTTTAACTCCTTTTTTTAGTAGTTATCAAATGATATTCATCCTTAGATTTGATTATTTTCTTTTCGGTTTTGGTTGATTAGTATACATTTTTATTTTGTTGTTAAAAATATCTTTAAACCATGATTATTACAAAGCGAAGATGGATGTGGATCAGCAGTGGAATCAAGGACGCGTGTTTCGTTCTGTTTGGGTCTCATCAGATGGACGTACATGCATCCCAGAGTTGATGTACACTCCGGGAATCGAATACAGTACCGTCCGCTTCAAACGCCATCGCGTCACCTACTTAATTACTGAGTCCTGATAGCCACTAGTACCAAATAGGACGAAACGCACGTTCTGGATTCCACTGCTATCCATCATCCATCTTTGCTTATAGTGTTTATGACTTAAAGCAATATGGAGGCAATCTATGCAGCATGCACATATGCCAATGAGAGACTGATCAATTGCAATCGTAAACATCAATGGGAAGGTTCAAGTAAACAATGCAAAATGAATTCATGCTTATTACTCTTTTATAATTTCTATATTTTTATATCGCTCTCCATTTAAGAAATTTGGAAAAGTAAAGTTTACACCATATTTCCAAAGTAGATTTAGTATTCATTTTAAAATATTCATTAAAGCGAATACTTTTTCGAATCTCTTATTATATGAATAACTTTAAATGCATTTGTCATACAATGTATTTTTGTATCTAGATAACCCTTTATCTTACAATATCAAAGTAGTTAGCTTTAATTTCTACTTTTAAGAATTGGTTAAATTACAATTATGTTTCTAACACACTCTTATTCATTACAACTTCACTGGCTTTTTCTGTATAAACAAAAGAAGTCAAAGTTTCATGAATTTCATCTACTTAAGACAACATTTAAAACGGCTGTGAACACACTGCCATATGGACTGTTAGGATTTTGGATAAACGACATGTTATAAAAACATTGAAATAAAATTCGAATTTTTATTTCAATGTTTTTATAACATGTCGTTTATCCAAAATCCTAAACAGTCCATATGGCAGTGTGTTCACAGCCGTTTTAAATGTTGTCTTAAGTAGATGAAATTCATGAAACTTTGACTTCTTTTGTTTATACAGAAAAAGCCAGTGAAGTTGTAATGAATAAGAGTGTGTTAGAAACATAATTGTAATTTAACCAATTCTTAAAAGTAGAAATTAAAGCTAACTACTTTGATATTGTAAGATAAAGGGTTATCTAGATACAAAATACATTGTATGACAAATGCATTTAAAGTTATTCATATAATAAGAGATTCGAAAAGTATTCGCTTTAATGAATATTTTAAAATGAATACTAAATCTACTTTGGAAATATGGTGTAAACTTTACTTTTCCAAATTTCTTAAATGGAGAGCGATATAAAAATATAGAAATTATAAAAGAGTAATAAGCATGAATTCACTTGGTATTGTTTACTAAATTTTCCCATTGATGTTTACGATTGCAATTGATCAGTCTCTCATTGGCATATGTGCATGCTGCATAGATTGCCTCCATATTGCTTTAAGTCATAAACACTATAAGCAAAGATGGATGATGGATAGCAGTGGAATCCAGAACGTGCGTTTCGTCCTATTTGGTACTAGTGGCTATCAGGACTCAGTAATTAAGTAGGTGACGCGATGGCGTTTGAAGCGGACGGTACTGTATTCGATTCCCGGAGTGTACATCAACTCTGGGATGCATGTACGTCCATCTGATGAGACCCAAACAGAACGAAACACGCGTCCTTGATTCCACTGCTAGCCACTATCCATCTTTGCTTATAACATGGATTCCAATTTCTTAACTTCCTCTGTATCATTAAGATAACATCCACGTCGTCATGTTTGTCAAAGTTCTTTCTTTTATTCAAAATATAATGAAAAAATGAATTTCCTTTCTCTTATTACTAGAAGAGAAAGCAAACATTAGGATCAAATAATGATAATGATTGAAATCTGTTAATCCGTTACAATCATATTAGATTAGTCAATATTTTAAATAAGCATTTGCATTACTCACTTTACAATACAATCCATAGTGTTTGCTTTTCAAAGAAATAGTCGAATATTTAAAGAATGTCAACTGTTAGTAACAAATGTTGGTGTTAGTGAACAAAATAAATCAGATAATATAATAAAATGAATTTTTCATTTGAAAAAAATATCTTGGTTGTACTTTTGTGGCTCAATGATCTGAATCAGATTTCGGTGAACGAATAAATATGCAATAAATTTAAATTTTCCATTTGCACATAAGCTAACCCGGTTTGTGCGACAGTGGTGATCAGATGTCACATATGGATTTAGTTGGATGAGTTTATTTCATGCAATCATTTAATCAGGCAAACATTAATAATGGAAACCGGAGGAGTCGAACATGCAAACCCCGTTTGACAAGTCATGACTTATTATTTATAGCCAGACAGAAATATACTAAAGAAATGTGATGAGTAGCATAAGCGATACATACATATACACTCAAACAAAAACATTCAAGCTTATAAGCAAATACTTGACAAGGTCAAAATGTGACTTAAGATCAAATTAATTAGTCTGTCCGAAAACTCAAGTAGCCCATGTATGCATGATTTAGTACTAGACTTTACAGTACAACCATAGACTTTTTTCGGAATTTCAGAGAAAAATCCGTTTGTTCCAAAAACTTTGTGTATTTTAGGATTTCCTATTAAGCAAAGATTATATAAACAATCATTGCAACAAGTTGAGCAACAGATTGGTTCAGTAAGCTATTGTCAGTAAGGCTCGTACATAATGTCTTGGTATATGTTATTAAGTTAACTCACCTCTAGTCTTATTGTTCCAGGAGATGAAGATCTATATAGACCTCGTCCCATGGTGATAGTCCGATCACGATCATCGAGTTGAATGGCAGCCATTATTCACTATTGAACTATAAAGATGATCTTTCTTCAATTCGAGTTTAGAAAAAAACAATCACCGAAAACCTCGAATTTCAGTGCTTTAGCTTAGAAAGTCAAAAGGATGAAAGTACTTGGTACTGTTATTATATGGATTTATTATGAACTTAAATCGTAACAATAAACAAACTTTTTATGACTTATTTTGATGGTGGTTAACTTATTGATTTGTCATTGGGATAGTTATTTGGGGCTGTCTAAATATTAAAAAAGGGATTAATTTCCAAAATTCACCCCTCAGTATTTCTTTCAGTGGTTTATCTGTAACACTGGTAGCAAATGTGTGTTTTGCACGTAAATCCCCCATGTATCTCTCACCTCTCATCGTATACAACTTTCAACTTCCCTTAGCTCTTCCTATTCGACCAGGCATTGTACCCCATCAGTCATTTAAACTAATCAATTTTTCTATTGGTTGTTCAGAATTTCACAGTCTGACTTCCTATCTTGAAAGGTAGGATAAGTGATGGAACAAAATATTTAATCGATAATGTGATAGACACATTCGATCCATCCGTATTACTAAACAAAAAGATGTTAATTTAAGCACATACATTATGAATTACTACTTCGTTAATTAGTCGTGCATCAATGGTGCTAAAACCAGTCATCCGTTGGAATGACTTTACAATTTAGGCAATCTAGTGAGAAGAAGAATTTTATTACAAATATGTGTTATATGAGCACGATGCATTTCGAACTACTTGATCATGTATTAAGTTGTTAGCCTCTTAAAATCTTTTGGTTCTAAACACCCTCATTTATATAGATTACCTGAAATTCACGTCTGATTTTACGTTGTATTGGTTACCTACAAATAATCTTGTAAAAGGGTTATCAGAACTACTGAAACCTATTCAAAGATGTTTATTTAAATATTATCTGAAGAAGTCGTTCGAGTTGACATCTTACTCAGGTAATATCAATGCTACGAAAAAGATAATATGTTCTTTCGATCGGAACCGTACTTAGTAAAATAATGTTGGATATCTATGAAAGTTTAGAAACTGTTTGAAGGGTCATCCTACGTTGAGATATATTATGCTTTTGTCACCTTAGTAGTTTGTCTTAATCACTTAACCATTCAGAACTTTGTGGAATAGCGTTGTGTGGAATCGATTGTTAGTAGAATGTTCTATTCAGCCAAGATCATTACTAGTCAGAAAATAACTCCCATGCTTAATCAAATACCTGAACAGAAATTAAACGACTGAGTGACCAAATGAAGCTACTTGTTTAAGCTTTCTAGTCTCGGCTATATTAAATCATTAAACGATTTGAAACTAAATAAATTGTAAACATTTGTAAATCTTATCAGAGAAATATATAGCGATTTCAAAGGTTAATTTACTCAAGACTTATTGATATAAGATTTATTATTTATCAAAGACTCAGGAATATTACCAAGAATCAGTAGTCTAATCTGAATTATTGAACTTTTTTAAACAAAATAGTTTTTATTGAAGTTGGGACGTCATTCTGTTAGTATTCATTCACTCGGTAACTAGTATAAAGTGAATACAGTTTACTGTCAATAATCAATATTTTATGGTAAAAAATAATTCTTATACACAGAACTATTCCTTCAATAATCCTAGTTAGAATGGTGTAGGATAAATATTCGTTTATTGTTACCCGAGGAAACATACCACACTAAGAATTACGCTAGAAGTATCTTTCCCCCAACTAAATATTACCATAAAATGATTATTTCTTGGGAAATAACAGAATAGCATATTTGCGTGCAATGAAATGTGATGAATAAACTTATTTTGTAGATAATTTTTTTCATTGCTAACGTTTTCTGTCATTCCATTTAGTTTTTACAATCATTTTCATCGACCAAAAGCTTGCTGGATACGTTTAACTTCGACTTTCGCGGCACCCCTTTTTCGTTTCACATACATGGCACACTGATTGTTGTTTACAAATGTACATCTGGTCCTGCACTCCTTGTTCTTAGATTTAATCAGCTGCCGCATTGATAGGTCATCAATACAATTATCACGTACATTTACATATCAATTTTTTCCTCATTATGGAATTAAATCTGACATATTAATGAGGATTATTTGCTACATTCGGACTTATTAATTATACAATAGAATTGTGAATCTACTAACCAAATCAAACACTTTTCCCCCTGACTGAAAATGTAATATCTAATTTTTTATCCGCGCACTTATACTTTTGTACATAATCAATTTATTCTGCACTTCATTCACTTTTGGTATCTGCAAGATTTTGCACCACCACAACTGCATCAACACACAACAGCCAAGGTTAACTGCATGTCATTTTTTAAAATTGATTGAGTTTAATCTAGTTACTGAATTTTAACAAGTAGTATAACTACTATACAAAAATAGTCTGATAAAAAAGTTAAGATCAGATGGGTTTTGTGGAGATTGTAGTAATTTCCATTCCATGGTGGTCTAGCTTCAACTGACTCATGATCTTAACCATTGAAATTACTACAATCTCCATAAAACCCATCTGATATTAATCAACATACGCTCACTAGTGACTGGCTTCACGAGGTATATCCTGGAGTTCTAGTGAGAAGTAGTGACCAGTGGAGTTCAACCAGGTCTCTTGTGAGATAGTAACTCACTGAAGACAATGGTGGATGTGTCGCTCAATTTCGTGGACTAGTTGAAGTTGGACATTAACACCGTTGGATGCCAGCTCAGTGGTCTAATGGTTAAGTGCTCTCGCGCGGAACTAGTAGGTCCTGGGTTCGAATCTCGCAGAGGGCGAGGTCGTGGATGCGCACTGCTGAGGAGTCCCACAATAGGATGAAACGGTCGTCCAGTACTTCCAGGTTTTCGATGGTGGTCTAGCTTCAACTGACTCATGATCTTAACCATCGAAAGGAGTTAAGAAACAAATAGATTTAACAATATGTTGTTCAATATATTCTGATCTTACTAAGATTCTATGATAGACCCAAATCAGAACAATGTGAGAGGAGGTATTTCTGCCATGTGATATTGATGGCAAGTCATAATAGTGTAAAATTAAATATTGTTCATAAACCGTTACGTCCAATCAGTGCTTAAAATCACATGAGTCCTGGCCATAGTTTTACTAAGCAACCACTTGGATTAGAGAATCCCATGTTTAACCGGATCACCCGATAATTTTCAAATGCATAATATACGTACAACTTCCTCCTTGAGGATTTTGATCTATCTACGTGAGATTTAAAAGTTGAGCATGGATGGGTGGTGCAACGTATGTGTAAAAGGTACAAACATACATATATAATATTCAATTATTCTCGGAAATGAACGGAATGTTGCAGTGTCTGTCAGTCTGGGGATATTTTTTGGTAGAATGTTCACTACCTAGACCTAGTGGGTGACCATCTTCATCAAAAATGTATCCAAGGTATTTAACAGATCCAAGTAAGGGTTTATGCTTTTTCTTTTGTAACTGGAAACCAGTTTGATATATTTTGGCAGGTAATAGGTCCAATTGACTCATTAAATCCTCCTCAGTTGAACCAGCAGCTTTAATATCGTCAAAATAAGCTACTTTATCTTTCAGATCCGATGTCATAGCATTCATGATTTGCGGAAGATATCTGGTTCTGGTTTTACACCGAATGTGATGGAGTCCACATTGTGTATTAATAGTTAGAAAATTCCTTGAATCTTTATCAGCTCCCATTTGCAAGTAAACTTCAGATAAAATAATTTTTGAAAAAAATACCATTTTGTAGAACAGACAAATTCTCTGCCAGGGTAGAGGATATGAATGATTTTGTAAAACAACATTTAAAGCAGTCAAAAAGTCCACACAAATACGATCAATTCAATTTGCGTTCTAAACTACTACAACTGCTCGTGTTGAACAATATCCGGCTGTATTCCACTGAGCTTGTTTATTCAATCTAAATCACTACCAACTTTATCAATGGCAGAAAATAGGACTTGGCGTTTTGGACAAAAAACGGGTATCACACCTCGTCATATGTATGATTTCGCCTTTGCAATTGTGCGACACCCCAACTTGTCCTAGTTATATCCGAAGAAAATCAAGTTATGGGTAACTTCGGGGAACTATTTATGGACTGTATTATATATATTCTTATGGCATAACTGCTAAGTGACTAGATTATATATATTTATATTCCTTTAATCATAAGCTTCCATTTGACTACTGTTATACGATTTACTATTCTTAAGTTATTCACAATTTACTAGTTACAGTCTCTCGCAATCACAGCCACTTTTTTGCTTGATCTTGTATAATTGTTATTTTCTATTTTATGGTATGATGTGGTCTGGGTTGCTTGTATATCAACCAAGAATGTCTGAAATATATGATTCATACAGTTGGAGCTGATATTGGTGTTCTGGTCTCAACAGGTAAGGCTTTATGAAAAGGACCAATAAGGACTCTGAGCTTTTCGTACCGGTCAACGCGTCATTGGTTTGGTACAGTGCTAAGATTTTGCGATTGGCGAATCATAAAGCATGATAATTAACAGGATCAAAAGACATAACAGTCCTGGAACAGTTTTGTATGTTTTCTGAAAAGGTGTTCTATCGTTATGGCTTTTTTAGTTACTTGGATGATGGGTAGATCTCTAGAATTATTTGAAATTTTTATCGTGCACATATCGCTCAGAGACAAACCCTATATATTGCGTTTATTTATCTGATCTATACCAATAAGGTCCAAATTATATCAACTCGTTAAACAGCAATTTCCCGCAAAGTAATTATCTAGAAACTTTATGGTCTATTTCATTGTTCTAACAGAACAATATATATCTCCGGATCCGTTTCGGACTGTGTTTGATTGATAGTACTTGAGGACTAACCACTGAATTCCATGTCCTTTAAGTGATTAACGTGATATTTAACATCTTATCCAATTATAATCGAATATAAACACTGCTGCCCATGAAGTCAACACTTCGTCTTCAATCAGCTACATTTAATGCA